GTCGACTTAATCGAGATGATGATGATGATGATAATGCGCACTAGACCCTCGGAAATGACAAACCATCTCCTAGCGTCTTCACGAAGCCGACTGATAGATTCTGAAACCCCTACCTCAATGACAAACGTCGGCCATGATCCACTTCGAACCCTATTAGGGCAGCGAGATGATGGTAAAAATGCTTCATCCCCTGGGGGGTAAGGCCAGTTCATATACGTTGGGTAAGAAACTTGACGACAACGCTAAAGGTGATGTGATCTTCAATGCACATCACTGGGGCCAGTACTCCGTAGATCTCTCTCGCTCCACTCGTCTCCTCTCTCTTTCTTCTCTATCCGGTCCGTGCGCTCCCTATAGTACTTCTTCCCAGGCGACTAAGTATACCACCAGCACATACAACAGTCTATCCTATAAAGATTCACCCACTCCTAAACTAGCAGCCAAGAGATCTGCTAATTTTCTTCAAATTCAATTCAGATTCAATTCAGATTCACTTCAGATTCATTTCAGATTCATTTTACTTTAGAAGCCCCTATGCCCACTTTAGATAGTATTGATTTTATTAACCTTATAATCTAGGTATTCAATTGGTTTTTTTGTAAAGTGAGAGTAGATCTATATTACTGCTGCCAGTATGAACCAATGAGAGAGTTAAGTGTCTGTGGCATACTTAGTCGCCCATACAGGTGAATGCATGGTCTTCTTTTTCTCTTATCTTCTTTTTCTCTTGTCATCTTTTACGTGTCTTCCTTAGAAAAGAATTCAACATGCAGTGTATTTCAAACCCTTCTAGGAAACCTTGGGACTCGGAATGAGACCTCAACCGATGGGCTATGGAACTGCAGGAACGTAAGTCCACACGCCCCAGGCAACCTGCTTTCCCACATCACCCAGTTACCTTCCAATGTTGTTATTGTTCTGCGCTTACAAAATCAGTGCCACGTTTTAAACTTCTCCTCACGCACACAGTGTTTCAAGTGCAAGTGATTCATGACCCCTGCGGGTTAATGGGCCCCAGGAAGACCCAACAAAATTCCCAGATGGGTGGGAGGCCAGGATGGTAACAAGGGAAAAGGAGCTCAGTCCAATGGTCAGGATTAGGACATGTGAATATTCATTTCGTCTCTGTACAGGAGACAAGTCGCAAGGGCGCGCGTCGCGCGCGCCTGTATTCGAATTTCGAATTTCGAATTCTTTTATGTTTTATTATTTATTTATTTCTGTATATAGTCTATCGTCCTAGTTGCCTATCAACACTATATAGTCCCAATATATTATTCAGAATCTTCGTCGGAAATGCCTCCCTTTGACTTGCGTTTTTCAACGTGCTTCTTTTTTGATCTTTTAGCCTTAGTCCCGTCTCCTTCTTTCTCAATAATAGGCTAAAGGGGCCGTTTTAGAGTGCCTATATTGAATATAAATATCAGTAGTATAATACTAATATAGGCCCGATATACGATAAAATGAAGTAGGACATAAAGAAAAAAAATGCAAAAACGAAAACAGCAAAATCGCCTACTTAACCAAGTTAGCCTAATCAGCTAAGTTAGTCCAATCAGCCTAATCAGCCCAATTAGTTAAGTTAGTCTAATTAGCCTAATCAGCTAACTTAGTCTAATTAGTATAAAGAACAAAACGAACTACCTAAGGATAAAGAAAGATCAAAGGTAGACTATATAAGTCCGACCCTAAGGCTATCTAAAGATATCTTAAGTATATACATTTAATTACCTCGTATACGCTTACTTCCCCTCCGTTCGTTTGTTTCTTAGGTAAGGTACTCGGGTAATAAACCTTAGGTAGGGATATCTATTTAGGACTATCGGTCTTTAATAGCGAGGGTACTATTAGGGCCCGGGGGGGTAATATCGCGGAAACGCCCTCTAGGGATAGTAGGGGAAGGTTTATATCTACCGCTTCGGTCCTCCTATATACGTAGCTTTTTACGTAACTTTTAAGAACGTAGGGTAGCTCTCGCCTAGGTTTTAGCGGTAGCGTTAGAGATAGGGCCGCTACTAGGTAAGAAACTATAGTCTATAACTATAATATATATAATCTAAGTACCCTTAACTAGATAGAAGCCTATAAACTTACTAGAAGCGAAAACCTACTTTCTAGGGCGAGGTATAGGGGCTCTTATAAAGCGGCCTATCTTAGGTAAAGCAACTGTAATATAGAAAGTAGAATACTTCGGCGAAATATTCTTTTTAAGAGAATAGTAGATAGTTTAGCGTAATATAAAGATACGATAACCTAAGGGATCGGTTATCTTACCGGTTACTAAGCTAATAGTATTAAGCTTTAGGGACTATATTAGGGGCAGCCTATTATAATAGCCGTTATTAAGGGCGGGATTACTAGGAAACCTTTAAGTATTAATTTATATATTAGTAAGTATTCTAAATTTTAGTTATTTTTAATACTTACGATATAATAGACTTTACGCGTAAAGCTAACTTCGGCGAATCTCCGCTTCGCTCTTTAACGATTAAGGAGCTAAGTATAATAATAGCCTATTTAAGAAGAAGTTCCTAGGCTAGGCTATTCTAGAAATAAACGCGGTAAGGTACCTCCTCTAGAATAATTAAGTTCTTTAAGTCCTTATAAGTAGGGCTATTAGTAAAGGTAGTTATCTTAATATACTTCTCCCGTAAACTCTAAAGGGGAGTATCGTCTTTAATAAGTATTATTATATTAAAGTTAATATAAGTACTAGGCTCCTATTTAGATATAGTAGCGATAGAAAGAGAAGGTTAATAATAGAAAGAAGGAAGGATAGAAATAGAAAATAGAGAGCTTTATTAAAATATAAAGAGAAATTACTACTCTTTAAGTAGTAGAAATAAAGGGTATATTAACCGAAGTAAGTACTAAGAAATAGTATAATTCTACCGAAGTTATAAATAAAATTACGTAATTTAATCGAAGTTTAAATCTACTATAAGGGTAATATATAGGTACGAATTAGAAAATATACTATAGGTTTACCGAGGTTATTTAGAAAATAGTATAGTTCTACCGCGGTTATAAAGAAAATAGTATAAGTCTACTAAGATTATTTAGAAAATAGCGTAGTTCTACCGAGGTTATAAAAGAAATAGCTAGAAGTAATTACCGAGAAATAACGTAGTTCTACCGAGGGTATTTAGAAAATAGCGTAGTTCTACCGAGGTTATAAAGAAAATAGCGTAGGTCTAGTAAGGTTATTTAGAAAATAGCGTAGTTCTACCGAGATTATAAAGGAAATAACGTAGTTCTACCGAGGGTATTTAGAAAATAGCGTAATTCCTTTAATATCTAGTTCTACTATAATTATAAACTCTACTTACCGATCGGAAATAATAGTAATTACGTAATACTACTAAAGTAGAGTTATACTATATAGGGAAATATACGAATAAAAAGGGGGGTATTCTATTAAAATACGGTAACTATTAATATACTAGTCTTAATATAAGGGAAAGGCTTTTAAGACTTTTTTATATACTATATTTTATACCTTCCTATCCTTATTATACTTAGTAAGTAGGACCTTAATATCTTTAGTATTTATAGTACGGGAAAAGGCTATATAGAGTTATCTATAACTAAAATACTAAAGAAGAATTAGTCTTAATTAAAAAAGGAATAGAGAAGTAGAACTTACCTAGCTATATAGATCAATCCTAATATAAGTAAGCGACTATCCCTAGGCCTTATTAATTGTTATTATAAACGCTAAATAAATAGGGAATTATCGGCGAGTTAATATAAAAGATAGCTCCGAGGGATTAGTAGATAGACTAAATAGGTAGAGTAGGTAATATAGTTATTTCTAATAGGCTAGATCTAATAACCTAACTTTAATATACCGAGTAGTATAACAGCGGATAGTATAGCGAGTACTATTATATAAGCTATTCATCGGATCTATATTACGGATAAGTATAACTAGTATATTAACCTTTAGATATAGGTAAGTAAGTAGAAGGCTAGAGGTTATAATACTATTTAGAAATTTAGGAGTTATTTTAGATAACTAGGCTAGTATATTACTATCGTTAGATTCTATAGAATTACTTAAGTAAAGAGTATTAGTAACGCTAGGAAGTCGATTAAATAATATATTATTTAAGTTATAAATATAGGCATTCTTTAATATTAGGATAGTACGTCTATAAAAGAAATCCGGATTTAAGGGTACTTATAATATCGTATCTTATAGATATATATCTTTAATAAAGTTATATAGATCTATTAAGGAATTAATATATAAAAGAAGATTAATTCCTTATAAGGCCTTATAGAATTCTTTCTTATATAATATTATATAAAGCTATTCTACTAGCTTACGATTCTTAGGGCTAGAATCTTCTTAAAAACGTATATTCTATCGAAGATAAAGATAGCGTAGTATACCCTAGATATTAGTATTCTAGAGGTAGGTATCGACAGTATTAGCTATATTACTATACTTTATAATCGGTAATATTTATTAGAAATTACTACTCCTAAACAAAAAGCATTTGTGCAGAGGCGGCCATTTCTGGCCTCAAAGGGGGCCGAAAGTGGCCGCCTCGGCACAGTTCTTCCGTATACGCACTTTCAGTCCCAGAGCCACGCGCTCCTCGCCTCCCCCTTGTAACGCGCACCGTCACGTTCTTGTTCGGTCATGTCGGTGCCTAGGCGCGTGGCTCCCCTTCCCCTACCCTCGAGCCCCGCTCCTGCTTTCCATCGACTTCTACCTACCTCCGGGCCTACTCCTTAAGCGCTACCATGACACCTTCGTTTTGTGAGGTCGCCAAAAATGGCATACTCCATCCTAGGCTCATTGGTCGCTAGGGAAATAGGGTCTATGGCTATAAAGCCGCTAACAGTCCCTCCTTATTCTCCTACCTAGCCCTCCTCTCACCTATCCTTTGCTAGTCCCTCCTTTAGCGCGCGCTTTATAGTCGTTCGTTATCCCCGTTGATTTGTCTACCTACCTAGAGCGGCTTCGCGTATATCTTTATTTCCCTAGACGTAGTATAAGCGACATTATAGATCTATCCTCTACGACCGATAGTGACACTTCCGGGGTATCTTTCTAGCCTAATATCGATACGACCGATAACTCCGATTCCGGGGAAGCCTTAAATTTAACCGAGCTAATAACTCCGGAACCTACCTATCTTCCTAATACTCGTAGTAGGCCTTCTACCCGTCTAAAACGACCCGTACCCCGTCTAGCGGACGCTAGTATTCTGCCCGATCTTAGTAATAACCCGGATAACGATATAGACGAGGACATTATAAACGTACCACTTGATTATAGGCGCTTAGAACAAACTAAGGTTCGGGGTCGACGAATAGAAAAGCGCTAGGATAAGTAAGCATTTATTCAAACCTACGCAATAAGGAGGTGATTACTAATATAAAGCGTAGGTATTACCGAGTTAAGGCTACTTAGGCTAGTGCGCTATTAAAATAGGATGACCTAGTAGAGGCACTACGCGAGGTTACTCCTAATAACGTATATCGTTTTTTCAACTACTATATAAAGCTAAAGTATAGCGAAGGCGGTCGTTATCTAAAGGGAATATCGAAAGCGAGCGCCCTAAAAGCTAATTAGAAAGGATTTTAGGGTTACTATCGAAGAATTATATAGACTAGGATAACGGCCGAAGATAGCGAAGAGATTAATATAGTAAGTTATTCCTCTTAGTCTAACGCTCGGAGCTAACTAGGTTCTAGGGCATTCGGAAACTTATCGATAAATTCAACCTCGATATATAAGAATAGGGCAAGGAGCCGGTATACGTCTAAGACTTAACTAAATTAAACGAGACGATTCTCCGAACTTAGGAAAGACGATTTTATTTTAGATACGAGCGAATCTAGCTCTATCTCTTTAATATACTCGGTATTTATACCGTAAACCGTCTATATACTCTTCTTTCGCTATAGTTCTACTATCTACGTTTCTCTATATAAGATAATCCGGACGGGGGCCCTCCCGTACTTTTAGTAGAGATTAAATCGGAGTATATAAAGCGATTCCTTAGAACTTCCTAAATATATATATCGTACGTTAAACCCGGGAATAATGATCCTAATATTAATACTACTTAGTAACAATTTTCCTTTCCCTAAAATTATCAATAATCCGTCGCTTATCTTTAGCCCTTATATATTTATATTCGGTATACTTCTTTAGCTCTAAGCCTTCGAAGTCCCTACGCTTTCCTCTATAGAGCGCCTTCGAAAGCTATTCGTTTAAGGTAGCCGATAATAGATAGAACTACCCTTAAAGCGCGAAGTCGAAGGCTATTATATCTTCTATAAGATAGAAGTAATCAATAGACGTACGGTTCTTTAATAGAACTAGCCGATAACCGATAGCGCTATATCTAGGCGTCTAAGAAATCTAGGGGAGATCCACAGCCTCCTTTAGTCAATATTCGCCTATCGTTTTCGCTATAGAGAGGGAAAGATATTAAACGAAAGTAGCGCGGTTAGCGAAGTATAGCAAAATCTAATTATAAAACACGCTAACACTCGTACTTTCTTAAATTATTATCTTCTACAATACATCAACACCGATATATAGAACGTTATAAACGGCCGCGAATCTAATAAGTCTCTAATACGCGCTATTACCCAGATAAGTAGGTAGATTGATAAGAGACGCCCTCGATACCTTACTTTAGAGCAACGAGCGTCCCTTCGTAAATATCTAGAATATATCGAGGCTACTCGGCGAATAAAGGAGCAAGCCGAGGAGTATAAATACGATCCTAGTATAGCGATACAATCGCGATTAGAGAAATTAACACGCGAAACCTCTAATACATTCGGCCGGTTAGAAAGAGTACTAAGACGGAAGGTACGCCATAAGTTCGACCGTAAACAGGCTATTATAGATATTGAGCGATAGCTCTTAGGGGCTGCTATTAATGACGAAGAGGCGAAGAAGGTACTTTAAGTAGAAGACTAGATACTACTAGAGTAGATTGATCTTCTTAAGAAATTATTTATATAGCCTACCTCTTAATCCCTAGAGGCGGAGTGGTAAAGAAGGAACGCTACCGTGGCTACGATCTCCCGATACTATGGTTTCCTTAAAGGTAGGCTATTATATAGGCGACGTAAACGGGCTATACCAAGTAACGGGTTCGATAAAGAATAGACCAGCGTATTACCAAAGCTAGCTAAGAAGAGTTATAGCTCTCCGGAGCCTTCGTAGCAGGATATTCTTCTTATAAATACTAAAAATTATATCAAAAAGGCTAAGAAGCCCCGCCGATATTTTTAATATTATAGCGATACCGAACTTCCTATTTATCGCCACACGTAGAAATATAGCGAATATAAGTCGACTCTACGACACTTTCGAGAGAAGCACTTATATAATCGAAGATATCATATATATGACGAAGATCTACTATATAAGATATATCTTCGTAGGCATATAGAAGAGGTTCATCGCCTTAGTACTAAACGGAATTACTACGCTAAGAAAGATACAAAAGAAGATACGGGATCAGATATTAATACCGATTAATTAGGAGGCTTATAGGTTTTCGGTTAAATTTAAGAACTCTATCCTTTTTTCTTTACTTAGCCGTTTCCACTCTTCGAGTAAACGTCTACGCTCCCGTCTTCAGTAGCAGTCTAGCCCTCCTATATAGCTCTATACAATAGTGATATACTATAAATGCTAGCAAGTTATATATCACGCTTATAAGCTAGTGGCTCTAGGAACCAACTAAAGTTCCCCGGAACGAAGTATTATTCCTAGGGGCTTTAAGGTTGATTCTTAGGAGCTCAGGCGTATCGGGGCCTAATATTAATAAATAATATAATACAGCTAACGGTTACTTAGGGGGTCGACTAGAAGTACAATATCAAAGTTGCTATCTACGATATATATATATATCATCCCTAATATACCCCCGTAGAATTCTACGGCACGATCCCTATGCCTCCTAGGAAGTATTACGTTAGTTCCTAGAGGACGTTTAGCTCCTAGAAGCCGATAGCATAACTAGAAGCGATAATTAAAAATAAACGTTAAAGTTTTCCTAGAGTATAATCCTAGAGAAGGTTCCCCCGTTTAGTATACGCGGGCCAGCTTCCTAGGAGTATAAAGTTTATCTCTAGGAATACGGACCACCTCTCCTAGGAGCTATATTGCTCCTAGAACCCTATATAAAGTTCCTAGAGGCAACTACTAGTTATCTTAGGATCAACGGAAGTAATTCTAGGATCGGTATTTTCCTTATTTTTCCAAACTAGGGTAATCCGTGTCTTATTTTACTATACGTATATTAGCCCTAGAGACTCTTATCTATTATAGGGGCACTTTACTCGAGCCTAGGAACCTATAGTTTACCTCTAGGAAAGGCTTAAGCTTCTAGGAGCAGCGAAGCTCCTAGAGCTAGCCTATACGTCCCTAAAGTTAATAAGGCCTATATATAAAACTACCTCTCAAATTCCTTAATTCATCCTTAAAGGAAGTCGATCCTAGAGACAGCCCTAGTAGCTCTAATAACGTATAAGCCGACCCTAGGAGCTTATAGACATACACATTAATAAATACAAACTCTTTTAATTCTCCGTTTCCGGGTGCTTTCCCTTATTATTCGGTCTCACAGTCCCTATATATAGCAAGCCGTTTCGTGCCGCTAGGGAATACCTTAAAACTACTAAGCGGCTAGAGACATACTTATAATACTTCGCAAGTAAAGGGCTTCCGGACAAGGTTAGCTTTTAGATATTTCACGATCCCGGGTATATTACGCGCTACTTCGATACCATTTATCTTAAAGAAAAACCCCTCAAATATAACTAGTATAAAGTAGGCTTACTACATCGAATGGCTTTCCAACACTATACTTCTAATATACACCGCGTATAGAGTCGCTAGCCATACTCGAATCCGATATAGGGACTTCAAAAATAAGAATAGACCGGCTATAAATATACCCGACTCAGCACTTAACGTTTTATATATACTATTTTAGTTTTATGCAATCTAATCGGGTTATATATATATATACGATAAATCACGCAAAGTAGTATCCAATCGTTTCTTAGTAGTAGCCCACTCGAGCTACTGGCTCTCTAGTATATAATGACCCTTATACCCCAACTCTAACTTAGTCAAACTTCTACTTTCCTCCCACCTAGTCAACCTAGCACTAGCTATCTCTTCTTTAAAGCCACGATAACCAGCCCTTTAAGCACGATTCTTATTAAGGATAACGAACTACTCCCAAGCTAGCGGTTAGGCAATTTATAGGCCTAAAGGACGTCTCTACGTACATCTCTTAAGACCCTAATTAAACCAAACGATACTACGAGTAGTAGCATAGAATCATCTTATAAACGCAAAAGGGCTAAGAGAAAACAACCTAATACTCTAGTAGAACCTTCCCTCCTAAGACACTCCGATTTCCTAAGCTAATAATAGACTAGGATACCTATTTCAAGAGACTACGTAGGACATTTAACAAAAGAGATCAAGAAGTTAAAAAACTCGATCAGGAGGTTGAAAATCTCGAGAAAGAAGTTAAAAAGCAGCAAAAACAAGTCCAGGAACTTCAAAGCAAGCTTCTCTAACAAGAAGACTAGCATCAAGAGGAGCTTTCCCGACGACGCATTCTAGACTACAAAATATACTACAAGCAGCCGGATTATTAGCATATTCTACTATATAGGCATATGATTTGTGAGACATACGCTAAACGACTTAATTAAAATGTATACCCTTTTTGTAGAGTAAGCTTTTCGGGGTTTATCAAATACTATCTATTTATAGGATAGATATATATATATTTTCTAATATAAGCTCGACGTATTTAGTGATTTAACTCGAAATCCTCTTTCATCAGCCTAGGAATAATTATAGTTTGCGAACACTATAAAGTATATAGTATATAACTAAAGGATAGGGTCGGAACCGTGTTAGTCGTAAACGCTCAGGTTATTTTCAATTTTCTTTCGATATCAACGTCGTCTAACAGCTCAACCTTATCACTCTACTTCTTAAATTTAGTCCGAAATCGCCGGGTTATTCTATTGTTTTTACAATTTCATAAGGTGGCTAGATAGAGTGGATAATCCGTATTTGTCCATCAGTATAGCGTGCTAGATAACCGCGTATAAATCCTAACTTCCGGGCGATTTTAGAAAGAAGTCTCATTCTAAGGCAATAGAGGTAATATGAGATAATCGAACTTAAAGAGTGAAATATTAAATTTATATTATAGAAGACGCTTATACTTATACACCTTATCCACAATACGCTTTTGCGCCTTATAACCATTACGCTAATTTCCTATATCCGGTTAACACCGCTAGAGTCGAAAATTATCGGTATACAATATTCCAGATAATAGAATATTCTTAGGGCTCGAAAATTTCGGGCTATTAATTTTAGAGTCACTTAAATTATATAGCCTCTTAAAATTTACACGCTATAATTTTCTAAAAGGTCAAATATTCTAAACCTTAAATTTAAAAGGGATCTTTTATTCCGGCTTATTTAGAAATAAAGCTCTTTAAAATTTAAATCTTATTATTTTCTCCTCGCTCTTATCTTCTTATCTAGAAATTTATCACGTCCTAGGAACATATATTCTAGGAACGTCAGAGCTACTATCCTTAAACTATTCGGGATTCGTATATAGACCGAAGTACGGCTAAATATTTGGCATAGGAACCAATAGGTCCTAGCTGCAATCAGGAGGTCTACACGATAGTAGGTAGCTAGATTTTATAGTGGTAGTTAAGAACCGCCGTCTATAAGCCACTATTACATCGGGAGAGTATCTCGCTATTCCTAGTATAATCGAATAAGAACCCACTACGGAGACGACTACGGTTAAGGATATCTATCATACCTAGAGGTACCCGATGTTGGTGGGCTTAGCACGGTTATATATTCAAAAACCGCCACTGCACTTTTACGCTTTTACGCTTTTCGTGCCTTTAAAACGTTTGACGTTCTTTAAAAGCTACTCCCTAGCCAACGAGCATACGAATATAAGAGCACCCACTTCCTTATTTCTTAATTCTACTTTCCAGCAAGTCTAATACTAGAGTCCCGAGGCATATTTTAGGCTACAGACTAGCAGATAGCGACTACAGGCCCTCGTTCAAATAGCTCTTCTTCAAAAAAAAAATCAATACGTTAAAAACAAGGTCGTCGTAAATCCAATTTGATAAAAAAGGCACGCGAATATAGTAGGTTGTATAAAGCAGACGTCTACGTCGGGATTCGCCTTCGGGAAACCGGCCAAGTATTTATCCTATCGGCGGATACCTCGGGATTTTAGGGATTTCTTGGGTCACAACTAGTATATAGGCAGAAACGAGTCACATAACCAAAGCTAACTTTTCTAGGCCTCCTATTATCCGACCCCATTTTTAATTATGGATCAAGACCTAGAGAAGGCTGAAGAAGGTATTATAAGGAAACCAAGCGAGGCAAATCTTCTAGCTTAACTAACCCCCATCCCGGTGACACGAAATGCCCTATGTGATGAAACGCCTACCAGGTACCTATATATTGGAGCGCCGTCACTACCAATCTACATATTAAACATTGCCTAAGAGCAGCAGAGACAATAATTATCTGATTTCTTATTCGATACTTTTTTTTAAACAAAAATTATAAACTATTAAAGTGGCGGATTATAGGACGGCACGCGCTACTAGAAAATATACTATTTACTACTATAACGCCGAGATTATCCACAAAAGCGTCTAAAATAAATAGGAAAGACGACGTTATATCATTTCGCCTACCTAGTGACAAATATTAACATTTTATATCATCAAAATTATATTACCTAAGAATATACTAGTTTTAGTAGAACTCTTAGCAGTAGAAAGGTACATAAGACAAGATTACCGACAAGGGGAATACACCGAAAGGAAACAATCATATAACTTGATGTATAAGAAATACTAGCGCCGCGAATCGGAACAGCCGTCCCACAACCCCGTCCGTAAGTAAGGGATGGCCTACTTTAAGGAAACATAGCTCTAGTAGAAGTACTTCATGACCGTATCAAACTATAATGGTCTATAGTACTATAAGAAAAGTCTATAAGTATAGATATTATATCTCCATATATACTACCTATATACTAAACGCTATAGATATAGGTCTAGGATTTTGAAGCCTCTTCACGTTCCCCGTGTTAATCTAGGAAGTCTAAAGGATATCGGGAATATTCACTGTTTCGGGATACTATACTCACATCCAAGTGCTCTCTCGTGCTTCTAATACCCGTCGGTGCATCGCTTCCGCCTCGTCATATTTCCCTTAGCTGTCAAGAACATTGCCAAGGTTATTGACACTAGTGACCGTATCAGGACGCTCACGGCTAAGCATATTCTCTCGTACTTCTAACGCCCGTCGGTATATCGCTTCCGCCTCATTATATTTCCCTTAGCTATCAAGAATATTGCCAAGGTTACTAATACTAGTAAGCGTAGAGGGGTGCTCACGTCTAAGCACCTTCTCTCGTGCTTCTAACGCCCGTCGGTACATCGCTTCCGCCTCGTCATATTTCCCTTAGCTGTCAAGAATATTACCAAGGTTATTGATACTAGTGACCGTATTAGGATGCTCACGTCCAAGCACTTTCTTACTACCTTCCAGGTCTCGTCGGTATATCGCTTCCGCCTCATCATATTTCCCTTGGCTAGAGAGAATATTGCCAAGGTTATTGACACTGGTGAGCGTATCAGGATACTCACGGCATACCGAATGCTAGGATCCCGCCGGAGATCCGCAAAATCCTCATTCTAGAGAAGCCGCGTCCGCTTCGACTCGCTTTCATAAAAAAGCCGAAGGTATACTAAGACGGTAATAAGGGGCAACCGGTTAGTAATATACGCCGTAGCCTAAGTAATAGCTAATAGGATACACTCTAATACGTAGACTAGTGCCCTCTCGTTCCCTCTAGACTCTCCGGACTCTCCCGATTAGGGGGCCGGAATTCTTACCCGTAAAAGGGCTAGGGACTCTACTTTATTTATTAGCTAAACCGCGATCACATAACTCTCGCTTCCTACTAGATTCCGTGCCGTAAGACTATTCCGCGATATGATTAGTATTGATCTATAGGCGGCCTAGGGTAGGAAGCTTACTAGCGGCCCTCGTTCGTTAAATATATTACGACTAAAAAAGATACTATCGTTATCCGTATTATCTAGTACTATTAGCTAGCGCCTATTCCGTATATTATATAACTACTAATATACGAGCTAGAGAATATTTATCTTCGGATCGTCCCGTCCCGGAATCTCCGTAACTATAGCAATCTGCTAATAGCCCTATTCTAACCGCGCTATATTACTAGCGTAGATCTAAAATACCTATATATCCGGTATAGATTCTCGTATACGATAAGAATACTTAATAGCTGCCTAGGTTTTTCTAACGATAATTAAATCAGTTGTTATTTAATATACATTCTAATAGGGACTACTTACCTAATACCGGCTAACCCTACTAATACTACCCGCTCGTGATACTAGCCGATCGCCTTATATCCTTCCTAGATCGCACTAACCATAGCTTTACGGCCTATAAACATCGGGTCCTTCTTAAAAGGTACTATAGAGTACGGCGGAGGCTTCGGATACGTCTACACTAAATATAGTCTCTATTAGCGCGTAAAAGGACCCTAGAGTAAGTTACCTACTAAACCGAGCCGCTACTACCGATAGGGCGTCCTTTAAGAACTACCGTAGTTTATCGACCGCTATTCGATACCCGGCCGCGTTACGCGTATCGAATTTGACCACTATCGAGTGATCTATATATAGCGGTACCTTATCCTCTATATAGTCGGGGAGCTAGAGAAGAGCCGAGTCTACGCTAATCGTCGTTATAAAATCCCTAGTTCGTTTCTACCGTCCGCTTTTTAAATCCTAATACGACTATCAATATATACTATAGCCTATTTTAGACGAAGACTAATATATACTAATACTAACTACCTCGTCTACTCCGTCTTATAGAAGCTCACTATCTTACAATCCCGGATCAGATTTTTGAAATCCGCTAGCTAGTAGATTAGTAGGTCCGATTTACTAGAGATCTACTATAGTAGTCGCTCTCGCGGATAGCTCTTATCCCCTACTAATATCTACTAGATATTATCTATTACTAATCCTTTATATAGAATAGTAAAAAGGATTATACCGTATATAGCTCGATAGAGCGACGTGATCGCCGGGTAGTCTTCCTCTATCGTCTAGATAGCCCTTACTAAGCACTATAGGTTATATTAGCATATAATATATAATATCTCAAATTAGACGGTGGTCCTATATAAGCCACGATAATACCTTTAAAGCTATATATAATAAAAATAAGAGGTCTCTACTAGAGCTACTCGAAAGATTAGCCGAACTCGCTATTAATAGATAGGTTAGATAGCATTTCCTACCTTCTTTATATTCCGGATTTTCTTAATCTCCTCTATTAGCTCCCGTCCGTAGTCTAGGATCGTATCGACTCCGTAGCTCAATAGCTTAGAGTTATACCCATAGATTATTATACGGTACTACGGAAGATCCTTCGATAGGAAGTCATAGAGCTACATCCGACTAAGATTTCCTCTTCCCTACTACGATCTATATATATATCTATCTAGTCCGGTAATAGCAATAATACTATAATACGTCTTCGGTTAATATTAAGCTTCTAGATATAGATAAAGACATAGTCCTTACTCTATAGCCACTCGCTCGTTATCGTCCGGCGCGTAGAGCTAGGTAAATCTAAAGAAGTAGTAGTTAAAGTTAATATTATTGTCTCCTATCTCGACCTACTAGTCTCCGAGAGGATTAACTCTTAGCTTATAGAGGAACTAAGGTACCCTACTACGAAACTACACTAGCGCCGCCCTCTCTATATCACTTTTATAATATAAAAGCACTATTATAATCTTAGCCTTAAGATACGATCTCTCGTCGTTAGTAAGGTTATCGTTAAGTACCTCCTATAATACGGTCTTAAGTTCGCTATTAGGCTATTCCCTCGATAGGCCTATCACTCGGAAGGTATACGACTTTCTCTGGCTAGCTATTATGGTTAGAAATCATCCTTAATAATAGAATAGTAAATTATATAAGAGGGGACTATATATCACTAATAGATAGCTACCTTAGCCTTACTAGTACGGCTAAATCAATTAATAAGTACGGGGTATCGAGTATACACGTATAATCGTTACTACTATCACTTCGTAGATACTACTATATACTAAATATAACTTCCTCCTAAATTATTTTTATGGGGAAAATAGTTAGTTACCCGCTACAACCACATACTATATCAATCGCTACCATCTAAACGCTATATTCCCTACAAACTCCGATCATAATAACCTCTATATAAGTCTTGCCCTGATATCACATACTATGATTTAGAACTAACTAGGCTTGGTTTAGCTTAGAGCTAGCCATTCTAAACTTAGCGCCTCGTAAGAGGACGGTGGTATATGAGACTATCTCTAGAGTGAAATGAAAAAAACTTCCTGTTCGTCGGGGGATCGCTTTGACCCTAAACTTCACGTGACCGGTGACTCATATCAAGGCAGCAAGAACGACTGTTTAATCCAGATCTCGTCGAACACCCCCGTTCAAAAATACGAAATAGTGAAAATTGCCCGGACGAACGTACCTATATTTGCTCCGCTATTAACGATCAAGTGTCACGTTTGCTTTTCCCCATCAACTTCTACTCAAAACTGTCTCAAGTTACTTTTACTAAAGTGGCCATTTTCCAAAATTACTCTCGGTGTTTAATAGTCAAAAAGCGGTTTTTTAGGCAAATTATCCATATAGCATCGCCATTCTCCGTAGGCTTATAGGAAATAACTATGACTATTAAGCACGCAGCAGTTATTTGATTGAGTCTAGCAAATCCACTAGCAGTCGTCAAAAATCCACGGGTTTGGCTGTTCAATATTCTTTACACATCGTTATAGACAGAGTTTGTAAAGGTACGCATAGAGATTCAATTTGTTTAGTATCCTCAAGAACTCGTGGGATTCGCTAAGTCTATAACCAGAGAAAGCCACGCCAAAATAACCCTAAGTCGCTATTAAGAATAATTTAAGTACCAATCTAAAACATAATTAAATTTCCTGGGATCTCCTTAAACTCCTAGTTACACATAGCCTTCTGGTCTTCGCTGTGGATCCTTTCCCCGTAGTAGCCGATTCGCTATCGCAAACTTCCATTCCCTGATCATTTTGGAAAGGAAAAGAAACACCAACATTAGCAATAGGACACCCGTTATATATCCAATCAAAGTACTAAGCTAGTAGCAACATATAAATAACAGGGCACTCGAAAATCTCCTATTAGAATCGGAGGCGGCGAGGTTGACTTACATATAGTTTAGGAGAATTAAGAAAAATGTAAATATAGATATTACCGGTCCTTAAATTTGAGCGAAGTACGCTCGATACTGATGATTTACACGCTGATATTGGCTTCTGCGTAAGAGAATAGGCGCGTAATAGTTTAGTTGGGACAATCGGATCTCTCCGTAATAATATCGTCCCGATACTTCGTTATCCGTGATATCCTTAAAATAATCAATGAACTAGTAGAACCGACGCCAGGTCACCTCTCTAGGAACCAGGCAGAGAGCCGGATCTTATGCGATCCGTAGATCTGATTTATACTAGATTAGGTAGAAATACGTTCGTAGATACCCGAGTGCAGCCTTTCTTAACTTCTCCGCCGTACCATATTTAGACGGATCGCTTATAAATATATCCTAGAATATGTAGGACGTTATGTACTATAGAAGGGGTTTAAGGAAGATTCGATTATCGATCCAGATAAGATATAGCCGAGGATCCTCGGTAATAACGATCTGTCGGCCCTTTACTCGCTGCCGATGTAACGGAGAGATATTGCTGCCATCCTGTTTCGATATCCACCAGAGTCTACCCGATATCGACTCGAGGTCCTCTAACCAGACTTCCTGGCGAATAAAATCAAACAAACCCTTATAATCGCTTATTTCGATGCGGGGACGACCTAGCAAATAATCAAGCGATGCATCGATATCACTATTAAGCTGATCGTCTTTATGGAAGGGATATAGCAATAAAGAGGTTTCTCTATCTGTCGACATTTTCTGAAGCGGTAGATTTGAAAAATCTTACAATAATGCTGAATGCTAAGAAATAAATTTAGAAAGATTGTTTTTCTCGATATAAGTTGTCGTTAAATAGTAGGGTCGACGTTTAGCCTTATAAGAGCCTTCGGTAGCTCAGCCTCGCGGGAATGTAACGATGCCTGATTTGACCCGACCCTCTGAGGTATATTAACAAACAGCCTAGTCAACGGGAATTCTATAGAAAAAATTATAATAATTAACTTTAAGGATAATAAAACTACGTCTCGATAGCGTAGATAACTATATTTTGAGGTATCACTAGCAGACAATGAATAATATATAAGAAAGGAGAGATATATAATATCTAGGAGCTAGCGGAATGACAAGCCACTTCTGCGCGATAGATTGATAGGAATATAGAAAATTCTAATGTGCCGAACGAGTCTATAAATCTAAAACTAAATAATAATTACTCATATCCTATACTTGAATCTCCTGCTTAGACTTGCGCTTCTCCTCCGATTTTGAAAGCAACTTGTTCCTAGCTTTCGACCTCTTTTTCCGCGTAAGATTTTGTTTCGCTACCGTCATATCTCGTTTCTTCTGCGCCTTAACGATATCTTTATAGCTTATTACTTTTGTATATCCTATAACCGTTAGGCCACGGGATTGTCGGCAAGTTTTTTTATTGTTCTGTTTAAATAGGATCTAGTTCTCTTTTAATAATAAGGCGCGCTCCGTAAAAACCGTTTCGGCCGCGCGGCTTAGTGTCTGTAGACGATGCTTATATACACTGTCTAGACTCTAGGTGTCTTGCTCTACCTCGCTGCGTAGTAAGGCAAAATGATCGGAGGTGTTTAGAGTGTAGTAGAGATTAGAGGATACGGTCGGATGGTCTATAGGGGTCGTGGTCTGTATCTCGGGCCGGGACGCTTGAAATTCTCGGAGGAGACGAGAGGGATCGAATAGAAAGAGGCCGCTTCTCGACTAGGCTGATCGTATATTACGGAGTATAAATACCTCTTTTCGGGCGCGATCATAAAGATAGGTGAAGTATGGCTTGCCGATGGTACCCGCCCTAGCCCGATATGCCTACTCAACCTGTGCCCGGTATGCCGTTTTCAGAGGACTAAAGATACCTATATCGCACGGCTGTAGTTTGTAAGACGTATAAAAAGGGAGACGATATAGGATAATGTGGTTAGTAAAGTAGAATTTCATGACCTCTAGAGACTTATAGGTGCCGAAACCATCGTAGATTAAGAGTCGCGGCCGACCGCCCGCTCGATCTCGAGTCTACGGATCGAATATATATTCTACCTAGTATAGACTGATTTCTATATTCGTATAGCCTATTTTGGAGTAGGCAAAATGCTATCCGGGGGTGGCGTAGGTGGTCCACGAACTACGATAAGTGGCCGCCGGCCAGATAATAAGAGGGTATAGGAACCGACTATCGGCGGAGATGTATTCGATCGCCGTGACTAGCGTCCGCTTCACCGTGGTCCCTCGATGCTTTCTTAAATCGTCTTTACTGACGAGCACCTTAAGGGAGTTAAGAACGCTAAGAAGCACTCCCGTCTCGTCCATATTATATATATTCTCTGGGAGAATAGCCGGATCGGCCAGCTCTCGGCTAATAATGTCAAACCAGTGTCGGACTTTGTCTTCGATATGCCGGCTATCTCGCTTCTAATCGATCGTTTGTAGCCGTCGCGCTTTTAACTGCGGGTGTCGTTAGTAAATACCCTATAGCTAATTCTTTCCTATAGGTCGGACCTCGAGGTCAGCGTCTGTAATCTGGAAAATCGAGGATCGTTAGCGTACGATAATCAGGGCAAGCGATTGTAGAAACTTAACTGGAAGCGGATAGCCGTTGTCTACCAACCGCAATATATATTCTACTAGCGCTTACTCCTCTTGCGGGGTGAGGTACTGCTGATTGGCGGCTTTTTCGGCGAGAGATGGTTTGTTATTAGCCTGGCGCCATAAGGTAGACGCGGGGATCCCGGCTGATCTCGACTAAACTGCGTATAGTGTCTGCGTATAACGTTGATAGGCTGGGGACATTGAGAATATTTTCTATATAGTGTCCTATAAGTCATCTACTGGTTAAGATAAAGCTATTTAGACTGTAAAAAGGCATAGAAGTATAGATACTACGAATTAGGTGGATACCACCAAGTAAATGAATTCTAGGATACTTTATACTCGATTGCTACTCAAATTCTTCTCGACTGGCCTTAAGTAAGATCCTTTTTAATATAGCTGTCTCCGGTTATAAAATTGGCTCATCCCTTAAAATCTTAAGGAGAACAAACGGCATTAAATCTCTATATGAAACTTCACCACCCTATTAAAAACTAGGTCTAGATGCTAAAATTACCTAACTCGTGGATTCTTGATAGCCGTTGATATATTTACTAGGTTTAAGCAATCGCTGCGTGCTTAGTAGTCACAGTTGATTCCTACAAGTCTATCGATAGTGGTAATGCGGTATCTATAATTCACCTAGAAAAAGCGTTTTGACCGTTTAATAATAAGAAACGATTTGATCACTGTTATTTGAGTATAGCTGATAGCGTATATAGTATTGATGAAAATATGTATAGTTATTAACATCGATAGGCCGTACGATACAGCACGGGCAAATAAGCTATAGTATTCGGGTATTTCTAGATAGCGCGTGTTTCGACCGTTGAATAATAAGAGAGAGTTTGAATACTATCGGTTGAGCAAAATAAACAGTCTTAAGCAAAATGATATGGCGGTCATGATAAAAAGGAAAACGCGACCCTTAACTAGCACCGCCTTAAGCTACAACATAGGCAAATTGAGGTGCGTTCACCCGGGCAAATTTCACCAATTGGCATTTTTCAACGGGGGGGTGTTCGACGAGATCTAGATTAAACAGTCGTTCTTGCTACCTTGATGTGAGTCACCTATCACGTGGAGTTTAGGGTCAAAGCGATCCCCCGGGGAACAGGAAGCTTTTTCATTTGACTCTAGTGATAGTCTCACATACCACCGTCCTCCCACGAGGCGCTAAGTCTAGATTGGCTAGCTCTAAGCTAAACCAAGTCTAGTTAGTTTCAAATCACACTATATGATATCAGGGCAAGACTTATATAGAGGTTATTTTGATCGGAGTTTATAGGGAAAATAGCGTTTAAATAGTAGCAATTGATAAAGTATATAGTTGTGGCGGGTAACTAACTATTTTCTCTATAGAAATAATTTAGGAGGAAGTTGCATTTGGTATATAGTTGATAGTAGCAATGATTATAGGTATATACTCGATACCCCGTACTTATTGATTGATTCAGCCTCGCCGGTAGGGCTAAGGTGGCCATCTTCCTATAAAGGACGTGTAGTCCGCTCTTATCTAACTTACAATTCTATCATTAAGTATAAGTATATATCACGATAGCTAGTCAGAGAAAGTCGTATATCTTCCGGGTAATAGGCCTATCGAGAGAACTACCCGATAGGGAACTTAGGACCACATTATAGGACGTATTCAACGATAACTTTAGCGACGACGAGATATCTTATATCACGGCTAAGATCATAATTATACCGTTATACTATAAAAGTGATATAGAGAGGGCGGCGCTAATATAGTTTCGCGGTAGGGTGCCTTAGTTCCTCGCTAAGCTAAGAGTCAACCCGCTCGGAGACTAGTAGATCGAGATAGGAGATAATAACATTAGCTTTAACTACTACTTCTTTAGATTTACCTAGCTCTACGCGCCGGACGATAATAAGCCTATAATTATAGAGTAAGGACTCTACTATTATCTATATCGAGAAGCTTAATACTAACCGAAGACGTATAATAGCATTATTGCTATTACCGGACTAGATAGATATACGTATAGATTGTGGTAAGGAAGAGGAAATCTTAGCCGAATATAGGTCTAGGATTTCCTATCGAAGGATCTTCCGCAGTACCGCACTATAATATACGGGTATAACTCTAAGCTATCGAGCTATAAAGTCGATACGATCCTAGATTACGGGCGGGAGCTAATAGAGGAGATCAAGAAGGTCCGGAATATAAAGGAGGTAGGTAACGCTATCTAACTAGTCTACTAACAACAACTTTAGGCTAACTCTTCGACTAGCTCTAGCAGAGACCTCTAATCTTCATTATATATAGCTTTAGAGGTATTATTATAGCTCACGTAGGACCTCTATTAAATTCGAGTCACAATAGATTATATACTAACATCAACCTATAGTACCTAGTAAAGGCTATCTAGATAATAGAGGAAGACCATCCGGCGATCACGTCGCTATATCGAGCCACGTATAGTATAATCCTCTTTACTATACTATATAAAGGACTAGTAATAGACGATATCTAGTAGATACTAGTAGGGGACTAAAGCTATCCGCGAGAGCGACTACTATAGTAGATCTCTAGTAAATCGGACCTATTAATCCACTAGCTAGCGGATTTCAAAAATCTAATCCGGGACCGTAAGGTAGTAAGCTTTTATAAGACGGAGTAGATAAGGTAGTTAGTATTAGTATATATTAGTCTTCGTCTAAAATAGGCTATAGTATATATTAACGGTCGGATTAGGATTTAGAAAGCGGATAGTAGAAACGTACCGGGGATTTTATAACGACAGTTAGCGCAGACTCGGCCCTTCTCTAGCTTCCCGACTATATAGAGGATAAGGTACCGCTATATATAGATCACTCGATAGTAGTTAAATTCGATACGCGTAACGCGGCCGGGTATCGAACGGCGGTCGATAAACTACGGTAGTTCTTAAAGGACGCGCTATTAGTAATAGCGGCTCGGTTCAGTAGATAACTTGATCTAGTATCCTTTTACGCGCTAATCGAGACAATATTTAGCGTAGACGCGTACGAAGCCTCTACTATACTCTATAGTACCTTTTAAGAAGGACCCGATGTTTATAGGCCGCGAAGCTATAATTAGTACGATCTAGAAAGGATATAAGGCGATTAGCTAGCGTTACGAGCGGGTAGTATTAGTAGGGTTAGCCGGTATTAAGTAAGTAGTCCCTATCAGAATGCTTATTAAATAATAACTAATTTGACTATTATTAGAAAAACTTAGGTAGCTATCGAGTATTCCTACTATATACGAGAATCTATACCGGACACGTAGGTATTTTAGATCTATACTAGCAATACGGCGCGGTTGGAATAAGGCTACTAGCAGATTACTATAGTTACGGAGATTCTAGGACGGGACGATCCGAAGATTAACATTCTCTAGCTTATATATTAGTAGTTATATAATATACGTAATAGGCGCTAGCTAATAGTACTAGATAATACGGATAACGATAGTATCTTTTTTAGTAATAATATATTTAACGAACGAGGGCTACTAGTAAACTTCCTACCCTAGGCCGCCTATAGATCGATACTGATCATATCGCGGAATGGTCTTACAGCACGGAATCTAGTAGGGAGCGAGAGTTATATAATCGCGGTTTAGCTAATAAATAAGGCAGAGTCCTTAGCTCTTTTACGGTTAAGGATTCCGGCCCCCTAATCGGGAGAGTCTAGAGAGTCTAGAGGGGACGAGAGGGCACTAGTCTAGGTATTAGAGTATATCCCATTAGCTATCACTTAGGCTACGGCGTATATTACTAACCGGTTGCCCCTTATTACCATCTCGGCATACCTTCGGCTTTTCTACGAAAGCGAGTCGAAGCGGACGCGGCTTCTCTAGAATGAGGATTCTACGGATCTCCGGCGGGATCCTAGCATTCGGTATACCGTGATCACAACGTGGCAGTTATCGTTTGAGTAGATCCGTTAGGAGCGGCCTACGGCGACCGATCTCCTAGCGTTGATGAGTATGTTTGATCGGCAGGGAATCCCCGAAGATCTGGTGCGCGACTAGGACCAAGATATCCTAGACTTTCACGATGCATTGGCGCCGCTGCTCAGCTATTCTCTGATCCGACTAGAAATAAACGAACGGTTGTTCGATATGTACCGCTTGGTATAGTTATCGGTCCGGGCGTGGCTAGACATACACCAGCAGCTTTACGGCTAGCAGGCCAAATCACGAGGGATTATGGCACGTGCATTTCTAGATAGCAACTACGAAAGCTAGACATAATATCGATCGCTCCTTGCGCATGCCAATAGTGTGCTGTAGTCTATATGTGATGTAGATAATGATCGATTGAATGCCGCCACCCTCTTGTCTAATTATGGATGGTTTCTAGGTCTTTAAGGAGTTTCTAAAGAGGCAGAATTGATGCACTGATAGGCGTTGGAAGCACGAGAGAATATGCTTGGACGTGAGAATCCTGACACGCTTACTAGTGTCGATAACCTTGGCTTAGTTCTCTCTAGGCAAGGGAAATATGATGAGGCGGAAGCGATACACCGACGGGCATTAGAAGCACGAGAGAAGGTACTTAGACGTGAGTATCCTAACACGCTTACTAGTATCGATAACCTTAGCTTAGTTCTCTCTAGGTAAGGGAAATATGACGAGGCGGAAGCGATATACCGACGGGCGTTAGAAGCACGAGAGGAGGTACTTAGACGTAAGTATCCTAATACGCTTACTAGTATTAGTAAGCTTGGTAATATTCTCTCTAGCCAAGGGAATTATGATAAGGCGGAAGCGATATACCGACGGGCACTAGAAGGATATAAAGAGGTGCTTAGACGTAAGTATCCTAATACTCTTACTAGTATTAGTAATCTTGGCTTAGTTCTCTCTAGGTAAGGGAAATATAACGAGGCGGAAGCGATATACCGACGGGCGTTAGAAGCACGAGAGAATATACTTAGCCGTAAGTATCCTAATACGCTTACTAGTATTAGTAATCTTAGCTTAGTTCTCTCTAGCTAAGGGAAATATGACGAGGCGGAAGCGATATACCGACGGGCGTTAGAAGTACGAGAGAATTTCCTTAGCCGTAAGTATCCTGATACGCTTACTAGTATTAATAATCTTAGTAATGTTCTTTCTAGCTAAGGGAAATATAACGAGGCGGAAGTAATATACCGACGAGACCTAGAAGGTAGTGAGAAAGTACTTAGACGTAAGTATCCTAATACGCTTACTAGTGTCGATAACCTTAGTAATATTCTCTCTAGCTAAGGGAAATATAACGAGGCGGAAGCGATATACCGACGGGTACTAGAAGGATATAAAGAGGTACTTAGACGTAAGTATCTTAATACGCTTACTAGTATCGATAACCTTAGCTTAGTTCTCTCTAGCTAAGGGAAATATAATAAGGCGGAAGCGATATACCGACGGGCGTTAGAAGTACGAGAGAATATGCTTAGCTGTAAGTATCCTAATACGCTTATTAGTATCGATAACCTTAGCTTAGTTCTCTCTAGCTAAGGGAAATATGACGAGGCGGAAGCGATATACCGACGGGCGTTAGAAGTACGAGAGAATATGCTTAGCTGTAAGTATCCTAATACGCTTATTAGTATCGATAACCTTAGCTTAGTTCTCTCTAGCTAAGGGAAATATAACGAGGCGGAAGCGATATACCGACGGGTACTAGAAGGATATAAAGAGGTACTTAGACGTAAGTATCTTAATACGCTTACTAGTATCGATAACCTTAGCTTAGTTCTCTCTAGCTAAGGGAAATATAACAAGGCGGAAGCGATATACCGACGGGCGTTAGAAGTACGAGAGAATATGCTTAGCTGTAAGTATCCTAATACGCTTACTAGTATTAGTAACCTTAGCTTAGTTCTCTCTAGCCAAGGGAAATATGACGAGGCGGAAGCGATATACCGACGGGTACTAGAAGGATATAAAGAGGTACTTAGACGTAAGTATCCTAATACGCTTACTAGTATTAATAACCTTAGTAATATTCTCTCTAGCTAAGGGAAATATGACGAGGCGGAAGCGATATACCGACGGGCGTTAGAAGCACGAGAGAAGGTGCTTAGACGTAAGTATCCTAATACGCTTACTAGTGCTAGTAATCTTGGCTTAGTTCTCTCTAGCTAAGGGAAATATAACGAGGCGGAAGCGATATATCGACGAGATCTAGAAGGTAGTAAGAAAGTACTTAGACGTAAGCATCCTAATACACTTACTAGTGCTAGTAACCTTGGCTTAGTTCTCTCTAGCTAAGGGAAATATAACGAGGCGGAAGCGATATACCGACGGGTATTAGAAGCACGAGAGAATATACTTAGACGTGAGTATCCTAATACGCTTACTAGTTTTAATAACCTTAGCTTAGTTCTCTCTAGCTAAGGGAAATATAACGAGGCGGAAGCGATATACCGACGAGATCTAGAAGGTAGTGAGAAAGTGCTTAGACGTGAGCATCCTAATACGCTTATTAGTACTAGTAACCTTGGCTTAGTTCTCTCTAGCTAAGGGAAATATGACGAGGCGGAAGCGATATACCGACGAGACCTAGAAGGTAGTAAGAAAGTGCTTAGACGTAAGTATCCTGATACGATTATTAGTATCGATAACCTTAGCTTAGTTCTCTCTAGCTAAGGGAAATATGACGAGGCGGAAGCGATATACCGACGGGCGTTAGAAGCACGAGAGAATTTCCTTAGCCGTGAGCATCCTAATACGCTTATTAGTGTTAATAACCTTGGCAATATTCTCTCTAGCTAAGGGAAATATAATAAGGCGGAAGCGATGTACTAACGGGCGTTAGAAGCACGAGAGAATTTCCTTAGCCGTAAGCATCCTAACACGCTTACTAGTATTAATAACCTTGGCAATATTCTCTCTAGCCAAGGGAAATATAACGAGGCGGAAGCGATATACCGACGGGTACTAGAAGGATATAAAGAGGTACTTAGACGTAAGTATCTTAATACGCTTACTAGTATCGATAACCTTAGCTTAGTTCTCTCTAGCTAAGGGAAATATAACAAGGCGGAAGCGATATACCGACGGGCGTTAGAAGTACGAGAGAATATGCTTAGCTGTAAGCATCCTAATACGCTTATTAGTATCGATAACCTTAGCTTAGTTCTCTCTAGCCAAGGGAAATATGACGAGGCGGAAGCGATATACCGACGGGCGTTAGAAGTATAAGAGAATATATTTAGATATAAGTATCCTAATACGCTTACTAGTATTAGTAACCTTAGCTTAGTTCTCTCTAGCCAAGGGAAATATGACGAGGCGGAAGCGATATACCGACGGGTACTAGAAGGATATAAAGAGGTACTTAGACGTAAGTATCCTAATACGCTTACTAGTATTAATAACCTTAGTAATATTCTCTCTAGCTAAGGGAAATATGACGAGGCGGAAGCGATATACCGACGGGCGTTAGAAGCACGAGAGAAGGTGCTTAGACGTAAGTATCCTAATACGCTTACTAGTGCTAGTAACCTTGGCTTAGTTCTCTCTAGCTAAGGGAAATATAACGAGGCGGAAGCGATATATCGACGAGATCTAGAAGGTAGTAAGAAAGTACTTAGACGTAAGCATCCTAATACACTTACTAGTGCTAGTAACCTTGGCTTAGTTCTCTCTAGCTAAGGGAAATATAACGAGGCGGAAGCGATATACCGACGGGTATTAGAAGCACGAGAGAATATACTTAGACGTGAGTATCCTAATACGCTTACTAGTTTTAATAACCTTAGCTTAGTTCTCTCTAGCTAAGGGAAATATAACGAGGCGGAAGCGATATACCGACGAGATCTAGAAGGTAGTGAGAAAGTGCTTAGACGTGAGTATCCTAATACGCTTATTAGTACTAGTAACCTTGGCTTAGTTCTCTCTAGCTAAGGGAAATATGACGAGGCGGAAGCGATATACCGACGAGACCTAGAAGGTAGTAAGAAAGTGCTTAGACGTAAGTATCCTGATACGCTTATTAGTATCGATAACCTTAGCTTAGTTCTCTCTAGCTAAGGGAAATATGACGAGGCGGAAGCGATATACCGACGGGCGTTAGAAGCACGAGAGAATTTCCTTAGCCGTGAGCATCCTAATACGCTTATTAGTGTTAATAACCTTGGCAATATTCTCTCTAGCTAAGGGAAATATAATAAGGCGGAAGCGATGTACTAACGGGCGTTAGAAGCACGAGAGAATTTCCTTAGCCGTAAGCATCCTAATACGCTTACTAGTATTAATAACCTTGGCAATATTCTCTCTAGCTAAGGGAAATATAACGAGGCGGAAGCGATATACCGACGAGACCTAGAAGGTAGTAAGAAAGTACTTAGATATAAGTATCCTAATACGCTTACTAGTATCAATAACCTCGGCTTAGTTCTCTCTAGCTAAGGGAAATATAACGAGGCGGAAGCGATATACTAACGGGCGTTAGAAGCACGAGAGAATATACTTAGCCGTAAGTATCCTAATACGCTTACTAGTATCGATAACCTTGGCTTAGTTCTCTCTAGGCAAGGGAAATATAACGAGGCGGAACCGATATACCGACGGGCGTTAGAAGCACGAGAGAATATACTTAGCTATAAGTATCCTAACACGCTTACTAGTATCGATAACCTTAGCTTAGTTCTTTCTAGCTAAGGGAAATATAACGAGGCGGAAGCGATATACCGATAGGCGTTAGAAGTACGAGAGAATATACTTAGACGTAAGCATCTTAATACGCTTATTAGTATTAATAATCTTGGCTTAGTGCTCTCTAGCCAAGGGAAATATAACGAGGCGGAAGCGATATACCAATAGGCACTAGAAGGATATAAAGAGGTGCTTAGATATAAGTATCCCTCTACGCTTACTAGTATTAGTAACCTTGGCTTAGTTCTCTCTAGCTAAGGGAAATATAACGAGGCGGAAGCGATATACCGACGGGTACTAGAAGGATATAAAGAGGTGCTTAGACGTAAGTATCCTAATACGCTTACTAGTGTCGATAACCTTAGCAATATTCTCTCTAGCTAAGGGAAATATAACGAGGCGGAAGCGATATACTGACGGGCGTTAGAAGTACGAGAGAATATACTTAGACGTAAGTATCCTAATACGCTCACTAATATTAATAACCTTAGCTTAGTGCTCTCTAGCCAAGGGAAATATGACGAGGCGGAAGCGATATACCGACGGGCACTAGAAGGATATAAAGAGGTACTTAGATATAAGCATCCCTCTACGCTTATTAGTGTTAGTAACCTTAGCTTAGTTCTCTCTAGCTAAGGGAAATATAACGAGGCGGAAGCGATATACCGATAGGTACTAGAAGGATATAAAGAGGTGCTTAGACGTAAGCATCCTAACACGCTCACTAGTATCGATAACCTTAGTAATATTCTCTCCAGCCAAGGGAAATATAACGAGGCGGAAGCGATACACCGACGGGTATTAGAAGCACAAGAGAATATACTTAGACGTGAGCATCCTAATACGTTTATTAGTGCTAGTAACCTTGGCTTAGTACTCTCCAGCCAAGGGAAATATAACGAGGCGGAAGCGATATACCGACGGGCGTTAGAAGCACGAGAGAATGTCCTTAGATGTAAGCATCCTAACACGCTTACTAGTATCAATAACCTTAGCTTAGTTCTCTCCAGCTAAGGAAAATATAACGAGGCGGAAGCGATATACCGACGAGACCTAGAAGGTAGTGAGAATATACTTAGATATAAGTACAGTATCCCGAAACAGTGAATATTCTCGATATCCTCTAGACTTCCTAGATTAACACCGGGAACGTGAAGAGGCTTCAAAATCCTAGACCTATATCTATAGCGTTTAGTATATAGGCAGTATATATAGAGATATAATATCTATACTTATAGACTTTTCTTATAGCACTATAGACCATCATAGTTTGATATCCCCTACTTATGGACAAGGTTGTAGGACGGCTGTTCCGATTCGCAGCGCTAGTATTTCTCATACATCAAGTTATATGATTGTTTCCTTTCGGTATATTCGCCTTATGGGTAATCTTATCTTATATACCTTTCTACTACCAAGAGTTCTACTAAAACTAGTATATTCTTAGGTAACATAATTTTGATGATATAAAAAGTCAATATAGCTCGCTAGGTAGGCGAAATGATATAACGTCGTCTTTCCTATTCATTTCAGACGCTTTTATAGATGATCTCGGCGTCATAGTAGTAAATAGTGCATTTTCTAGTAGCGCGTGCCGTCCTATAATCCGCCACTTTAACTGTTTGTAATCTTTATTTAAAAAAGAGTATCGAATAAGAAATCAGATAATTATTGTCTCTACTGCTCTTAGGCAATATTCAATACGCGGATTAAGTGTGACGGCGCTCGAATGTGAAGGTACCTGGTGGGCGTTTCATTATATAGGGCATTTTATGTCACCGGGATGGGGGTTACTATAACTGAAATTAATTCCCCGGGTATGTCTTATATACCCAGGGGCACGTGATCTCATCTCAATATCCTAGGATACTTTCAGCGCTCTAGGCCCTTCTATAAAGAATAAAGGCTCATAGGGAATCACATAAGAGATTGAATAAGTAGAAGCTGATATAATGGTTTTCTTCTAAGAACGAGAGAAAACTAGAATAACGTATAAAAGTCTTTAGGTATAATAATATATAGTGAATTATTAGCGTATAGATAGCGCCTATTCTATTAGTAACCCGTAAAAGCTTAACGATTACGTCCGCTTATTCTAAATCTAATAGATATTCCGAGAGAGTCTAGTAAAGCTTATTCAAACTCATATTTCGAAGTTGGTCCAATCTATATCTAGTAGCGAAGTTATACAAACGAGTATATACCAGCAGTGTCTTAGGATGTTTGCATAGGTGGTTTCTATCTCTATAATATAGCAAAGATATCGAATTATCGGTCTTCACCTAGATATCTTTATAACTCGCAAAATAATTTTCTTTTAAAGGAAGTAGATCCTACGTTGTAATATCGAATTCATCTTCGTATAAAGTATAACTCGATTTATCGGCTACTAGAATAAGGACAGAGTAGTCCCTACTATAAAGGTACTGAAGGATATAGCCAAAGATATCCTTAACATCGTCGTTAACTATATAAATTATTTCGGGCGAACTTTTATAACGATACCGGAGGCTTTGGATTATCCCGCTAGGCGTAGCGAATTTCTTCCCGTTAGGGCCAACCTCTAGGTATACGAGGGGGGAGATAAAGTGACTAGGTGTTTTTAGATAACGCCTCTAGAAGAAAGGAAAGCGTACTTACGCTAGCCGTACTTAAATCATAATGAGATATTTCGTCAGTATTATTAATTAAACTCGAGGCAGTACTATATATAGGAGCATCGGAAGAAGTAAGCAGCATAAGTTTAAATAATTGATTAGTGGCTAATAAGAAATGTATTGTCGTCTATATACTACCTTAATGTGATTAGTCTAGGACGCTGACTCATCGTGCTAGAGTAAGGCCCACGAATTTAATTATCTTTCTTTCGTAGTCTCCTTTACCCTACTAGAACGCCTAGCCCCGCCTGCTACCTATGTTATTTGCTAGCTAGAAAAGGGGTATCTAGGGTAGAGGTTGAGATTGATCTTAGTGTAAGAGGCTCGCCTATTATAGTCTTACCTTTAGTATCAAACTAGAGGGTTTAAGAGCCCCCTTAGGGACGTTTACTAAGAAATCGAGGTTAGATAAGCTTTACGATAGATTTAACTAAAAAGCTAGATATAGCGCTTCTTATATAGTATTCTGTATTTGGGGGGCTTCTATAGATAGAGGAAGAGTGTTTTCTAGCCTATATTATCCCTAGGCCGGTAAAGACACAAATCCACTACCTTAAGGCTAGTCATATAATAGATCTATAGATCTACGTCTAGGCGGGCTTTGAGTCTAAAGATATAGGTCCGTAGTTAGGAAGCTATAGTAGGAAGGCTTTGGCTTTAGGCACTATGACCTAGTATAGTTGATTCGAGGCCACCGATAGAAGGCAGTAGACGTAGACCTACTTTAGACGTACGTTTACGGCTCCTAGTCTAGGTAGGCTTTATAGCTATTAACTAGCGGCTACCCTAGCTTAGTAACTATAAGGGTCCTCGGTCTTCTAACTACGGTCTATATAGGATATAAGTATCATAATCTAGATCTTAAGTGTATTATTTATCGCCTACTGCCGGCGTTTTGTCGGCCGATTATTATTACTACCGGGTTCAATTACTCGTACGATAGAATTCACCGCCTCTTTACTTATAACTAGATCGTCGCCGAATATTATGAATATCGTGTTCGTGCTATCCTTAATCGCCGTATCAAAACACTGCCCCGGTAGGACCTACCGTAGATTCTAGTTATAAAACGTTGCCTAACGTTCTCGCGCGTTTTTAGACGCTATTCGCCTAACAGAAGAGGCGTTAGATAGATCTACTATTATTTAGTAGACTAAGCGATTCTAGTCGCCGTATTCATCACGTATACGGAATATAATTGTTACTATAGAATGCTTAGCTGTATCGCTCGCTCCTTCTCCTCGCCTACGAGACTCGTCTTATTCCTCGGGCAACTTGTCTGATCTAGCTATTTCTATTCGTATACGCGTATCGGTCTGCGCGGGAGACTCTCGTAGTAACGACGAGGGGCGCTCTACTAGAGTGTCCTTCTACGTAGTATCGGCGATAATATAAACCTATAGCGAAGCGTCTAGCGGTATAGACTTAGACGACCGTTCTTCCTATTCCGATCAGATATTCCTTATTCTATAATATTTAGAGTTTTGATCGATCGAGCTCGAAATTTCTAGCTACGGTTCGAACTCGACCGAGCCTAATCTTTCTTCCGGTGCCTATTGCTAGTCCTAATTCGGGCTAACTTAACTAGCTACGGGCTATAAGCTCTACTCTTCATTCATCTCTAACAAAAGATGATACTATGCTTCGAGGAAATCAATTTGAGTACTAGGTCTTACTATCTATTCCTAATCAGCCGTTCGTAACAGTGCGTTTATATCCTGCTCTAGAGTTTCCTATAGCGGAATAGATAACTTAGGGGTTTGTTAGCGCCGTTACGTATAGTCGTATAGTTTGAATTTAGCGCTCTCTTGTAGCGCCGTACTTTTGGTACCTATAGTCTTAGAGGGGCCCGATGTTATCTCCGATGCCCCACGTCCTTCTAAAATTGCCAGTGCTTTTTCAACTTCTTCCGATAAAGAAAGCTGCGCTACTATTTCTACCGCTTTATTCTCTTATTCGCCTATATGCTCTTCTATATTAATATCTATTGAAGATTCTCCCCTAGCTATATTTTCCTTACCCCCTCCCTGCGGCTCCTCGTTTTCGGTATTAGTAAGACGAAGGATTTTATTTTCCTTGCCCGTTAGTGCTATAGAGTCGTAATCTTTAAATCTAGCGGCGAGGAGGTATTATTACCCCTTATACGAATTTATATCTAGGTATAGTGGTAAAGAGGCTATAGATATCAAACAGAACTCTCCTAGTAACTATAGGGGTTGTATTAAGGATAGTTGGTCGTACGAGACTGTTGATACTTATAGTTCCGTGGAGGTATATCTTGACCTAATAGAAGGCGAGGGAGGTCTCGAGGGAACAAACCTAAATCTAGTGTGACTATCTTCTGATTCTTTATCGTCGCTAAAACCATAATCCCCTTTAATAATCTCGCCGTACTCTAGTTTATCGGCTTCGGCTAGTTCTATATAAAGAAGACCCTACTTATTTTGACTTATTATACCCCTACTTCTAACGAACCTAAGTTCTACCTCGGACGCTAGCTCCGCTACCTCTCCTATCCGGCTACCTTCCGAATTAATACGCGCGATTTCCTTACTATAATAAAGGTCGGTACGTGAGGATTGGTATCTTCGCTACTATCGTTACTATTGCCTCTGTAGCTTCTTCGCTTGCTTCTACTAACGTCTCCCTCGGTGTATATCTTTTAAGCGTTGCCGCTCTAAGTTGCTATCCTGCCCGGCTCCTATACCTATAGACCTTACTCGTTCTCCTTTATCTTACGGCGAACAATTGCTCGGAATAAAAAGCGGGGATATTGGTAAGTCTGGAGTTAGAGATCTACCCGCTATATTGTTATTTTTATAGGGTATTAGTAGCTCGCCGAAGAAGGTAAAGTAGATACTCCTCCTTACCAAAATGGAAGTAGCTTTTCGTTCCCTTTGGAGGGAATCACTATAGAGTTGGTCGATAAAAAGGAACTAATAATCTTATAGTTAGGCTTCGGTTTACGGATATCTATATCGAGATTCTTTCTTAGATTCCCTTCTACTAACGAATTGTACTAGAAGCTTATAGTTAAGAAGGACGGCCCTTAAGAAATACTCGGTGACTTTGTTGATTAGAGATTCAATTTCTTCCCTATTATACCGATAACGATCTAGTCGACGGGCTCTTAAAAGAGTATCTTGCGTAATTTGCCGATCTAGCGACTACTAGATAAGCTGCTTAATTTATGGCGACTAAAACCTAAGTCTCTTTATAAGTATAGCTATCTTATATAGTATTATAGGCTCTACTACCTTACAATTAGGCTTCGCCGTAGGATTTTTCTTCTAAGGCTTTTTGGATAACTTTGGGTAGTGACGTATAGTATAGAGCCATAGTTATCGATATCTAAGTTCCGCTAGGTCCCCCTAGGAGTACGAGTAAGATCGAAACCTAGCTTCGGATATTTGTATTAAGAACTACGTATAGGTAGGATCAAAAGACAAAAAGGCCGTATACGTAGCGCCTCTAATCGTAGGGAATGATCTAGAAGGTATAATAAGCCGTTTGATATAGTTCGCGTATGATTCTAGGTACTAGAGATCTTTGAAAAATATATATAGAGATAGAATTATGCCCTCTATCCTCTTTAATCGCTTCCAAATTAAGGTCCGCTCGGATTCTGTGAAGTTTGAAAAGACTTCGCTACTGTATATAAGACCTTTTACGGTGGTTCTATCCTTCGAGGACACTCTAGGTACTAGGAGTTGTAATATTTCTACCGTATAAGGGTTAACTTTAAGTATCTTAGTATAATCGTGTCCTACGAGTAAAGACTAGTATTACCGTAGCCTAGTTAGCGCGTGAACTATCTCCTATGAACGTAATCAGTATCTATGTTTTTTTAAGAGTCAGACGACCTTACCTTATCGTAGTAGATAGCTAGAGCCTATAGAAGAGATCCGATTTACATTCTATATATTATTAAGGAGGGCAAGCCGAGTAACGAGTTAAAAGTAGCTCGGACGCTCGGATAAGACTTAAGTCCGCGAAGCCGCCTAGCTTTGTTATCTAATAGCCGTGCTAACCATCGATTTTCGAAGTATAAATTTGCTTTATATCGATATTGCCGAACTTTTAGGTAAATCTTACTATCGCTTAGAACTCTCTCGTTAGAATATTTATTGATAAGGCTTATTTAAAGATCGGGACTAATATCTTAGGGTTGTCAAAACTACGGGAAAGTATATAGTGGATTTCTAGCTTACCATCTAAATATAAGTCAATAGTCTACTATTAGTCGATCGATAGTAAATAGTGTTCTCCGGCCTTTAATCGATATTGACTATAAAGGCACTATACAGAACTAGTAGAGAAATAGAGGTATAGGTAGCGGCTCGGTTGATCAGTCATTATATTAGCGGCGTTTACTCGCCCTGCTTAAAGAGCCTTATAGAGATGCTCTCTTAATACAACAGCGCTTACGTGGTTATATATATCGAGTCTTCGACAACCTTCTTTGTCAAATACCTTATAGAGTCTTTCTACATTTTTTGTGTTTATATATTACGAGATGGATAGGTAGGGGGTAATCTAGCTGATATTAACCTTAGCTATTCCTTAGTAAGTCCGATACCTTTCTATCAAAATCTATAGCTTAGGATCTATGTATATAGACTCGTCTATAGTGCTAGTGAGGCAGAATATACGTAGTAGTAGAGTATCGGTTATTTATATTTAACTGGTCTTAGCCTTATAGAAGAAAGGGTCTACCTAGCTGATTCAGCGTCCTAGTGACTAATATGACTACAAAAGCTAGGGATAGCCCTTAAAACAAATTTAGTTCTATTAATACAATTGCATTATAAATAGGCCTCTTCGCCTTTAAGCGCTATACATTTCCACCTTATTTCCTTTCCGTATATCTTAATCTAGCCTAAATATATCGAAACAAGATAAGCACTATATAGCGATTGACTTTAAGAGCTACTAAGAACGGCTTACAAATAACCTATTACGAGAGGCACCCTTAAGCAAACAGCTATACCAGCTTAATGTACCTACCTAATTAGACAGTAGTTCTAATAAAAAAAAAGAAAAACGTCTCCCTAGAGCGAACATATATAAAAGGTTATAAGTAGAGGCCCAAAACTCTTTGGCTTACCTTAGGTATGCGAGGAAGGTACATCTCGCGGGTTAATCGTAAGGGAGGAATCACCCTAGGACACTTATCGTCGGATACTTAGGTATAGTCTAGTAGGTAAGGTATTCATTATAGCTCGCCGTTCCCGTCCGTCCTAGGTAGTAGCTATTCGGGAGTATACTAAAAGGGACGTGGCTAAAATACGACGGCTATATAATATCCTTAACTACGATAATATATTAATAGCCCGAGAGTGCTTCGTAAATAAAGGATGTATATACGCTCTCGTTAACGACCTCCAGCTTACTTTAGAGCAGCTTATAGGGTGTCGGTCTCTCTATCCTACGTAGGCGGAATTAGCTTCTATGACTTGGTAGGTATATGGCTCTTGACACTTCAAGTATTTTAAGCTTATAACAGTACAGATTTTGGATGGTTTATATTATCTTAATAAAACTAGATTAGAATACTAGTCTCTGATATACCGGAATATTCTTCTCGGCCTAGATAGCGTTATCAAGATCGGTAAGTAGCAATTGCCTCCTTTATAATGATTATTTTAACCCCCTATAGCTAGCTTAGAGATATACGTAGAACGTCCGCCGGGTTAGACACAGAATATATATATTAAAACTCTCGCTTCTATCACTATAGAAATCATATAGAAGTATATAAAAGATGATAGAATGGTAGGAGTAGATAATATAGATCGGTAGCCTATCGACTTAGATACGTTTAGGTTCCTTTCCGCCCTCTCGATAGTAAAGTCTATTAAATCTTTAAAAGAGGTACCTAAGCCAATATGTTATAAGTAGACGAATATAAAACTAACATTTATTAGCAACCGCTTATCCGTAAAGAAAGTCGATTGGTAGGAGAGTTGATACTTCTTACTCGGTCTATTTTAGTCTCTATAAGGATATTCTATTCCTATAAGAGATAGTAGGAAATGATATCTTTTAAGGAATTATAAGTATTAGCTTGCTTATAGTTTTCAAAGGTTTCATTATATACCCGTAACTTTTAATCATATCAGAAAGGCTATTAGTAAATTTATCAAACGTACATCTAGACAATGAAATCTATTAGCTCGTATACTTCAGCAAAGAGCTATCGGTAAAGATCTAATCTTAAGTATAGAAGAAACTAAGAACCTAGAAATACTATTATTTTCCTAGTAGGTCCTTAAACGGCGGCTAGGCCCTAACTATTCAGAATATTACGGTACAAAACCAATAATTACTAGTTATAAGTAAAGGAGATCGTAGGCTTAGAATATCGTCTAAGAAATTAAGATAGATATAAGGCGCCATTTCTAAAATAAGACGTGGCTACTGTATAAGGGACTTTATATATACTACGTGATTGACTTATAGTGACTACGTGATTAACTTATGACCGGCCCGTCGTAAGGCTACAGCCGACCGAAACCCTCTAATAGACCACGATCTTTATCACGAATTTATTGAAGAATTTAAAGGATAGGGACCGAGAAGGTAGTGCTATCCGCAACTATTAGCTAGCGCGCGTATCGAGAAGATAAGGATTGGTTGTAGGATATGATCTAATAACGTTAGCTTAAGGGGTTATTTAGAGATAAATCTAAGTTAGCAATTGCGACTTAGAAAAGGGCCCTCCCTCTAGGGCACGGTTCCCTATGGTCTAAGAGCAAGAGAGAGACGATAGTATTATAAAATAATATATTTAACTTAACACCTACTAGATATAATTATGGCCTTAGAATCTCTAGAGAAAGATTAGGTGGGAAGAAGCAATTCTAGACAGAGACTTAAGGTTGGGAACCACCTATGTTTCTAGCTTGTATAAATTTGCTTCATTCTCTACGGGCGCCTCTTAGATGATGTTTAGCTGGTCCTAGGAAAAGACGCTATCACCTCCAAGCATAAGGTCTACTACTATAGACTTAAACGATCGATAAAGACTAGTTAGAGCTAGGTAGCGATTGAGAATATAAATAGCCAACGTATCTACCATTTTGTTCTAAAAAGCTGTTCTTCTACCTCTATTTCAAAGTTAGCAATACAACCATTCTATAGGGCATAAATAAGCGTATATTTGATTTGCTAAGTCTTTACTAGCTAGTAAAATCACACTAAGTCCTATATAAGTAGTAGCTTTCTACCAACGCTCGCCCTAGCGGTATTGATCACTTAAATAGTCGCGATCTGTTTTTTAGGGCACGAATTGGTTCCTATAAAAAGCCTATAAGATAGAATCTCTAGCGATCGTAGGGATTGCCTAACGTTATCGGTTAAGCGGAAGACCGTTTTTCTCACTTTCCTTTAAATTATTAATATGATTTTCGAACTAAATATAGATCCAAATCTAGGCAAGACGGCGATTTATATCGTCTGACTTCGAAACTAAATAAGTAAGCGAGTTTAGGTACCTCAGATATAACACGTATACCGCTAGGGACGAAGTCAAGTCAATACGAGGTAAGATATATAAGTAATAGTTGAGTAAAAGAGACTTAAACGAGGCAATCGGGCCGTCGGATCGTATAATTGTGATTAAGCTATTACCGCAGTCTTCGACGTCTCGAGCTTGTTTTACGCTTATAGTCTCGCTAGTTGCAATCTAACATATTGTTTGAATGTAGTTAACGTACTTAGCTACCTGGGTCCGGTTATCGACTAGCTTATATTTATGAAAGGTTTCCCTTTCGATCTCTTATACTTTTAGAAGCTTAAGATCCGGTGAAGTTAGGGCTCTTCTCTGGTAGTGATTCCTAAGGCTAAAAGCACTAAAATTGTCTTTATGGGGCTTTGAATACTTAAGTTGTTCTTTTTCGTTAATCACGATAGATTGGATTTCTATATTTCTACATTTCGTAAAGGCATATACGCCTAGACTTAACGTTTAGAGACCTATTATCATTGTCTCTTTATTACTATCTGTAGACTATATTAACTATAAACCCCTATCTGATGGCAGAGGGACTTCTGGAAGGTTTAAATAAAGCTAAGGGGTATATTTCAGTAAATGCTAACGCTCAGTATAGTCTCCTATATTAATAAAGCTATATTATGAGGTAGCCAGATATTTTTCATTATAGAGTGCCTCTAGTATAAGCTAGGCATCCTAATCAATAAGATTATTATCAGAAATATCGGGTCTAGGGGCACTATAAGAGACTAAAGTATCTAGGTCAAATAATACCATTATTCGTATACTAGTCAGCGACACTAAGAAATTAATAGTCAACTTCTCACAATAGTGGGCTTTAAGGGGGAATATCTAGATAGTAGAAGAATTGCCTCGTATTCTATTAAGTAAAGTATAAAGAGGAACAGACACTAAATTCGGGATAGCTAGATAAATAAAGGAAGAAAGCGAATAGCTAGAAATTAAGATAAACAATAGTATATAGGGGTTTCTAGCGTCCCCAAAAGGCGTATCTTAAAAGGTAATAACTAGGAGCCGTATTAGTTACGACCCTAAAAAGGTATCGCAACCTAAACAGCAATTAATTAAATTATTTGACCACGATTTTTCTCTTATAGCCACAGTTTTCCCAACCCGCCAAAAAAAAGATAGGATCGTTAAAGTAGATTTTGCCGGTCGCTATACCCTAATAAAAATACTCGTTAATATAACAGTAAGGTTATAGTTAGAACGGAATCGCTTTCTAAGAAACCGTAAGAATTAAAATAGAAGCCGATTAGGAAATAGAGTACACCCTGTTTACAAATCCCGAATTATACTGTAACTAGAATGAACAAGAACTAATCATAGAAGCATAGAGCATACGCTATTCCTTAGACCGGAGAATACACTAATAAATCGGTTTACGGTAAAGGTAAAGAATAGATCGGGTATAATAGTTAAACTTATTTCTAGAGGGCGGTGAATTCTATTTAATCTATAGCTAATTAGTTATTCACTAGCCCCACCTACCCTATCTCCCCCTACTTAATAGATTGGTCCCTTCTCGTTATAAAGGTTAAAACTCTATCTTATACAGCCTTACTCTCTATTCGAGGTATTTATAAACTAATTCTCTCAAACGGTCTCGTACTTTATACGATACGGATACTAGGAAGTTAGCGTCTAGTTTATTATTTAAGGTAATAGACTTACCTATAACTAGAACCTCACCGCGGTCTTTATAAGTGTTTAGCAGCCGTTTTATATTTCGCCCGGAAGCCTCTTCTAATATAATTTCATTATATCGAGGCTTTCTATTAAAAACTATCGCGCGGCGATACTGGCTAAACGGCTTGCTATATTCTATTATCTAGTTTGATACTACAAAAAAGAACATTTCGAGTATCTATATCACATTATTAGCGCGAGTATAGTTAAATAAGAACAGCCAACCTATATAGCCATTATCTAAGATATTATCGCTTAATAAGCTATTCAGAAGCGGTTAGGCTATAATAGCAATATCTAAGAAATTTAGCATCGTTAGTTTGCTCTTTAAACGTAGAGGCCGAACTTACCCAATATTTAGACCTCCTATACGAAATATACCCGGCGTATATATAACGTACAAGTGTTATACCCGTATAGGAGCTTTTTAAGATAAGATATAACACCTACTATACCGAAATCGGTCGTAATTGCTAAGACGTATTCGTAATAGTCTACGGATTTGCTGACTCTATACGGCCCGCTAACAAATACTATCAAGGAAGTATAGCCATCTAGGGCTATACGATAGTAAATAGTTTTAGTAAGCCCTCTTCGAGGTTAAATAAAAAGCTCTAGGATATCCTGCTTTTCTAGCGACCAAGATGTCACTATAAACGGGTGTGTCTAGGCCTAGGAGAATAGGCTTACCGCGGGTATCTAGAGACTTATATATTAGCCTACCTCGATATATAAGGGCCTTATAAGTACAATCCTTACTTTCAGCGGTGTTGCCTCTTTGCTCTATATCGGTATTTATTATACCCGATTATATCTGATAGAGGCACGAGAATAGGGACGTAGGGGGAAGATACCGTTCCTAACGATAAAAAGGAAAAGTTCGACTAGTAATATAAGTAGTATTATACTAAGCGGAATATAAATATATAGCCGGGGCAGTAGAGTACCGGATAGTAGATACCGCTATATAGAATATATATAAGCTGTAGCTAGGGATTAGTACAGTCGAAGGAATAGCTCGTAAAGGAAACGGCGAATAAAAGGGAAGGATAATAATAAAATCGCGGCTATAATCATAGAGCCCTAAGAAGGATTAGCGCTACTAATCTAATAAGATAGGTTAAGTGAGAGCGACGACAAACAATTAATATGAAGAGGTTAGGTTTCTCGCGAAGTATCTAGCTCTTCTAATCAGTTATTATTACTATAATGATATATAAACTAAGAAGAATGCTAGTTATCTAACCTACAGCCCGATAGATACGCTTATATACTATTAAAGAAATACCTATAGCGTTTGTAAGGAATCCTAAATAGTATACTAAGAATAGGAAACTTATATTAATTACTAAAAGGGTTCCGGCGCGGTCTCTTACTATTGTTATTAACGGAGTCTTAAAGGCAATAAGAAAAATATTTGTTATAGCGTACGCGAGATATAATAAGGCATCTACTCGAGTGTAAGGAGCAATTAGCCTATAGCGACCCTATAAGTATAGATATATTAAGTGTTTCGTAATAAGGAACGACAAAATTCTAAGTAGATTTAGAAAGGAGGGGGCTATACGAATAAGAAAGAGTATTGTTAGTAAGTACCCTACTACAATAGCGTAAAATATCGTGATTTCTATTGTCAGTTAGGATATAGGTATTATATATTTTTTAACTATTATAAGGAAACCACGGCGCTTTATACTCCTAGGGTAGTAATCCTTACTAGTAGGATAACTAATATTTATGCCGGAAGTAACAACTCGTTTAGCGTTACCACGTTTATTTCTTAGGCATCTATATCGCTGCTTAGAATCGTTGTTATACTAAGGTATATATCTCTTATAATATAGTCTATTGTAGGGCGGCTTATCTTCCTTTCCCTACCCTAATTTAGCGGCTCTTTCTAGTTAAGCTTCGAGCCTCTTCCTACTTTATTTATAAAGCTCAAAATGATACTGTAGACTACTATGGTATTTGGCTTAGTATAGCCTCTAATATACTTCTTAACATAGCAAGTAAGAGAGTGAAAGGAAAAGCAATAACTGTTTTTTATAAAAATGTCTATAGGCGAAAATATACTGTAATAAGGATTGAAATATATATACTTAAATGCTCTAGTATATAGTAGTTGCGTTATAAAGTGCCTATCGTTGCTCCCTAAAAACTGTCTCCTCCTAGGTTTTCTCCGAATCACGATCTGTTATTATAGTCGGAGTCGGGTAATAAGAGCTCTAGTAAGTCAGCGCTCCGCCTAGTAGATAATACTATATAGTTTATATACCAATTGCGAAGTAAGAAAAGCCTAAAAGCCTAAAGCATCCGCCGATAAGATATATACCTAACCGGTCTCCCGTATACGAATACCTACGTATATATCTGCGCTGTATATCCTACTATATTCGTATGCCTTTTTTATTAGACTTATTTTATAACGGTATTGTTTTTGCCGTATCAATTTTATTTTCGAAGTGGTATCCTTAGACCTAGTGGCCTTAATAGCGGCTATTAAGCGGATTGCCTTAATATCTAGGGGTTCCTAGGAGAAGAGAAACCTATATAGAAAATATAGATAACAGGAACTCTTATAAAACTTAAGTCTATTAATAGGAAAGGGCTTAATAAATATAAATGTTATTATACGAAGGGGAGTTATCAATTATAGAACGCGAGAAGACCACGAAAATTGGTCTTTTATATATTGAATTTATAAGGCGGCCCCCGTAAGACTAGAAGGGCATTTACCGGTATTATTTGCGGTTATTAAATAGGTGCGGTAACGTAAAAGCAACCGTACTTTTAACGTTATTAATATATTGCCCGCTAAACCTTTTACGTAACTATAACGTTACTATAGTATACCTTTAGTACTAGCAACCCTTTATATTAATCGAAATATTTATTAGTATATATACGTGATCTTAAGTAGCCGGGCAAATGAATTTATTATCGGTTAACGTAAAAAAAGACTGTTCCGGGCGGTGCCTAGGTATTAGAAAATGCGCGTTATTTAGGGCGGAGAGTGTAGTATAGTTAACGGTATTTAATAGACACTTTACTTCTTTTAATATATTTGTATTAATTATATATAAACGAATTAATTAGTTTATTATTATTTTCGGCCGTTTTATACGCCCCTAACGGAAAGTTTATATGATTATATAACTAGGCAGAATTATAGTATTAAGATACTAGAGAGAGGCAATAAAAGTGTGGGCAACAGAAAGAAGAGGTAATATATATTAACTAGGCAAAAAGCCGGTATAAATATTTTTTAGAGTAAGGTATTATGTTAATAAACGATACGATATAACGGTTATTTAGGAGTCGACCGAACGTATATTGTTAACGACGATACTAGTATTGTAGAAAAATGAGGATAGAATAATTAATAGCGTGCTAAGAGTTGTTAACGAGCGTAAGAAGGCCAATTAATACTAGTAAAGTATAAAGGTCAACGGGCAAGAGAAGATTTATAGCCGATAATAAACAATTGATTGTCTTAGAAATCCGACTATAAAATTGTTAAAAAGAATAAATAAACCGATTAATTTATTTATCTTTTTTATTAACGCAATAAAAGAAGGTATTTATTAAGTATAATTGGCTAGTGGACACTCTCCATTTTAAACTAAGCGAATTTCCTAATACCTAGGCACCCCTAATGTCTATTAGAAGAATCATTTCATCCTACCTACCCATAGTAACATACTAACTTTTATACTAGATTTCCTAGGTATTAAATTCAAGCTAACCTTATTAGCTTATATATACCACTTATATGTACCACTAGGTGGTGTCTATATTTGTTTATATATATACTAAACTTTAGTCCGGCTTAGGGCGGATTATACTTAGAGTATAATCATAACTTCTTTCTCCTCCGATACCTAGGGATGCCAGAGTATAGGATATTGCACGTAATCTGATAATAGAAAGATCGGTTGGCTCTTAGTCGGCCTATCTATATACCCGGTGGGGCACCAACTAATTAGTAACGGGTAGGTCCGTAACAGCCTCCCTATTCTAAGATCTTAGTATAAGCAGCGAAGGGTTATACGTATATATAGCGGTGACTAATCGTATTTCTTAATCCTAGGTTCTTTTCTATAGAGACAAATCTCGTATAGCCTTCTAGTCTTACGCTGTACTAAAATCTAGTTAATAGTATCTTGATTGGGCCTAGCGTAACTCTAAGCAAATATAAAGAGAAACGCTAACCGCCTCTAGCTATTATAAAGCCTGAGGCTATAGCCTTATCTAAAAACGGGTATCTATATAGACTATAGATGTTTACGTATATATTACGTGCTTCTTACTAGATCACTATAATATGGTATGCACTTTCTAGATCAAAATCGCTATAAGTATAACGCTTTAGCCGCCTTATAAACTGTAATCTTATCGATTTACTAAGTCTTAGATACGCGCGCGGCCACTACTATATACGTATTTAGTAGGCGAATGTCTTATTAGTCGAATACCCCCTTTTAGTGGGAAGTCTTCTAATTTAGACAATAAATACTATAATATAAAAATTACTATAAGGAAATTTAAGATCGTTATTCTACTAGGGATCATACTACCTATACGACGATAGGCTAAAGAGCGCGAGAAAGTAAAGAGGCCGGTATACCGAAGAAACCTATATAATACGCTATTACTAAAGCAACGCTATAGTAGGAAGAGTACGTAAACAAATTACTAGTAGTAAATTGATAGAGTATAAGATACTAATTATAATATAGTCTATTTAGAAAAGTTTATTTCCCTTTCTTTCTATCTTATTCTACTAGCTACGGTCTAGACCCTATATTTCCCTAATATAGATTAGTATTACTTATGCGACCTAAAATAGTGGTAGCCCGACTTCTCTCCCTTAATATCTCTTAGTTAGAGCTTATATCTATAGTACAACCTACTATAGAGGAAATCTTTCGGTCTTTAATAGCGGAGAAAATCTAGGAGCTGCTAGTAATCTACGGAATTAGTAACTACTACGATAAGCCTATTAAGTAATATATACTTAGTATTTCTGACTTTAGTAAGCCCCTAAACTGCTGTTCGAGCAACTATATCTACTAATACGTATAGTCCGCTAAATAAGATAGGAGGTAGGAATAATAGATCTACTACCTCTTCCTACTCCTATAGCTAGTCCGGATCCTAAAGTAAAGCGCGGCTCTTATCGGTTCCTCCCTATATCTAAAAAACGAAGTAGAGCGGACTATACGGGGTTAGACGTACCGTCTTATAAGAAGAAAAGGAAGAATAAAGTTAAGGCGAAAGATAAGACTACTCTTAAAGAAATATCGTAAGGGATGAATAATGCCGTACTACCTATAAAAGGAAATATACCAACCGATTCCCCGTCGATAGATAAAGCGAATATAGCGATAAACTTACCCTAGGCTAGAATACCCTTAACCGACGTATATACCTATTAAGGTGGAAAAGTGCCGTATAGTATCGTCGAGAATATACTTATTAACTGTATTAAGCTTAGCGATCCACTCGGAAGATATAGATACTATTCAAAGTAGGTAATTATAACAACGAAGGTTAAGGCGATTTAGAGTTTTGTGGATAGTATTGTCAAGTTGTAATACCCTAATGTAGTCTAGCTAATTAAGTAGGAGAATATATTCTCGGTAAGCAAAAGTATCTAATCTCGATTTAACGAGACCGTGTATTAGGAAATTATCAAAAAAGGCGCCGAACTTCTTAACCTAAAGGATTTGCTAACCTCTAAAGGCCCTCTTAATGAATTTACGATAGCCGAGAAGGTCGCTACCGAGCGCTTTATAAGGGAAGCGGGTTATAGACTTAGCCTCGCTAATTAATAGTAGTGCTGTCTTTTTTAGAAACGACTGTTCGAGATGCGGAACGCGGGTGTTGACAAAATCCTCTTATATCGTATAAAGGAATTCGACCGCTTCTATAAAAGCTACTCGTTAGAAGCTAGAGCTTCTTTAGTAGAGATAGTCCGGAACTAGGAAGAAAGATATGCCTTCTATATTAAATAGTTAGAAGAGCGTATAGTCGAGGAGAGTAAGGGCGGTTTTACGGGAAGACTATAGCTGAGCCAGTCGCTTATAGCGGATAGACTTCGTATTCCTAAAAATGTGTGGAATAGCGCTACTAACCTATAGTTCTCTAGCGTAGAGGAAACCGTCTTCTAATTGAGCGGGTTATACGAGCTATCCGCTGTTACACTCGGTAGGTTCTTTGACTTATAGCTAAAGGTAGAAATAATACGGAATAAGTCTATTTTCGTTATTCTTCAACCTAAAGACGATGTCTTTTTTACGGTTTGCCCTATCATTTCAGTCTAGGAAGGAGATACCCTTGGGAGATTTGCTAGAGTGATCCGGTACTCTTTAGAAAGTAGCATTGTCTACGGTATACCTAGTCCCGAAGAAAACCTTTAGCTAGATTATTCTACGGTGACTGGGGCACTAAATTTTATAAAGGTATCTGCTCCTAGAGGGGACTCTAATATTCGTCTTCGGTAGGAGCTTATCGATGGACGGGGTGAAGGGCATCTTATATAGAAAGTCTCGGTTGTTGCTCTTCGGGTAATTCAACTATTTGAAGAACTTATTCGCGCTACCCCTTAAAAAGAATAATATCTCCTATACTAGTCGCCGGCTTACGTAAAGCGAGGGTATACGAAGTACTAAAGTTCCTAATTCTTATTTTTTATTTACTTCTAGCTGCTTATTAAATAGAATTATCGCTAATTATAAAGTAAAATTTATGCGTATATATAGAGATGAATTATACTCGTTGCCTTTTGGAGCCTAGCTGCTTTGTACTAAAGTAAGAAAGCTGCTAAATGTACGGTCTGTTTTAGCTACGCCTCCTATCTCCTACTATTAGCCTTGGCTATACTTAAGCCACTATTTTTAATAGAAGTATAAATCTATTCCTGATTTTATAGGCGATAGAATCTATTCGATCTACTAGTAGTAGAGGACAGAGAAAGGCTAACCGCTTTTAGCTTATCGTGCCCTATATTAGTCCCTCTTATTCCTAATTAATAACATAGCTACTACTAGCTTATAGCTTTTGGCTATTAGATCACTTTAAAAAAAAATTTGGGACGTCTTTTACTTTATATCCTTGATTCTTTTTTTATATTCTCGGTCCGCGACTTAAAATGTTACTAGTTCGGGACTAGCGTAACTCTAAGCTATATATATAAAGACGCTAACCGAATTGAAAGGGGGGGTTATAAGATAGCTAAATTGTTCGCAGAGTTATAATGGAGATAAAGGGAAAAAAATGCAACGGTTATCTAAGAGTTGGCCGAATTTACATTTTTAGCGATGCCTTCGACTATATCTAGTAAATAAATATATAGTCGTCGACGAGCGGTGTAAGACCTATATTAGTAGAAAGCATAAGATAACGTGTAGGCAAACTTACAGCTAGTGATTAAATAATTAGTTGATTCGAAATGTGAGTATAGAAAGGAAAAAAAAAAAGGACTAAATTATTTATATTCTGTTTAAATATAATGCTTAACCCGGACTTAGATCCCGAGTAGACAATTATACGTAAATTCTAAGGCTGCTGGATATATTATTGCCTTATTATAGGCTTTAGATGATCTGATGGTAGATAGATGAGATACGAATAGGCCTATTATCCCTTATAGGCTACCAATTATTATCTAGGATACTTGATTATATGTTTGATGGGTTGGTTGAAATATAATATATTATTGGCCTACCGCTACTCTATTCTCTATCTTAGAGTAGCTAAACTATTTCGGTGGAATAAATAAAAACTCTGTATAACTATATATAAAGTAATTGGTAGGAAAGACGAATTCGACCCTACGAACGGCCGAGAATATGGTATATAAATTATCGTAGCGGAAGTATATAAACTAGTGCTAGATAATATCTAATCCTAGATTCTATACTCCTAGACACGCTATTGATTGCTCCTAGAAGTAATAACCAACGCTCCTAGGGTATCACCTCTCATTCCCCGGAGCTATACAGTCTATCGGGAGCTATAGGTCCTCTAGGACTATACCGTAGATTCTAGGATCGAATATAATCCTAGAAATGTGAGGGTCTTACTCGGGAGGAAAAAAAAAGCGGGATCTTGTCTGGGTAATTAATATTTAGAATGCAAATTAAAACGCGGGCAAAGCGTAAAGATACTATTTAAAGAGATATAACGTTAATGAACAATAACATACAACCAACGGTTATTTGGGAGTTGACCGAAAGCACAATCAATGTTAACGATATTTTTTATAATAATCAGTAGAATAAACGAGAGTAGATACATAGTCTATAAGACATCGTCGACGAGTAGTAGAAGGCCTATAGTAGTAAAAGATAAGGGGTCAACCGTAAGCAAACTTGTAGTTGTTGATTAAATAATTGGTTGTCTTAGAAATACGAGGGTTTAGAATAATTATAATTATAATTAATTTATTGTTTTTTTAAAGAAGTAGGGTATTTATTGAATATTATTAGGTAGACAGTAGTCTCTACTCTAAATCACGCGTATTTTTCCTAATACCTAGATACTCCCCAATTCTCTAGCTAGAACTTCTTTTTACCCGTGCTAAGCTTATTTTATGCCATATTTTCTAGGCCCTATTCTAACCCCCTCGTACCTTAGTGGCTTAGATAGTTTTCTAAATAATTAATAAAAGCCGTGTAAGATACTATTAAAGCTCAGCGCGGAGAATTCTTCTGAAACCTTCCCGAGAGATTTTCATTCTTTTATATATAGGCTTTTTTATACCTCTAGAAGTCGCTTTGTCTCTACTACCGTTGAATTCCGCACGCGATAAGCTGACTATATAGGCTATATAGTTTCCCCTATCCTTAGGATAATAAGTTATTCGTGAATGACTTAGGAATCTACTGCGAATTCTTGAGTATAGAGAATCCTCTTTGGAACTATAGGTTATCGTGCTTTACCCTAAGGGCCTTAGTAACTTCTACTCTATTGAGATAAGCTATTTATAATCGCGGACCGAGAATCTTTCCTTATCTGCTAAGTAGTGATCGATTTAATTAATTAGTCAAATAATACGATTTCCTCGAATAAGTAAAACACTTACCTAGTAACGTTTGATATGCGTATAAAGGATAAGGACCGTAAACACTAATATTGCCGTTAATAGCTCTTAACTTCCTATTTACTTAATATTTATCGAGTTCGTTGTGTATAATAATCAATACGTCTAGGATCAACCAATCTACCCGATTTCTATAATAACATTTCTTAAAGGGTATCTGTTTCCCTACTTTACTATAATAAGAGCTTAAACACGTTGAATCGGCCCCTAACGCTATCGAAAATGAGTGGCTTCTTAATTCTTTAACGCCGCCGTATTTAAATACGTTTGCCTATCTTATATAGATCTAAACTAGGTAGCTGTTTTTTTTATTAACCTACGATATACTGAGTTTTAATTATCGCTCCTAGGAATACTTACGGCCTCTAGGAGCTTAATGTCCTCTAGGAACTAAACCCGTTACTCCTAGGAGCGAGATAGATCGTTCTTAGGCCCTTAACCTTAGATCCTAGAGCATACCCGTCCGTTTACGGGGCCCTATAGTTCTCTGGGAACTATAGTTACGCTTCCGAATATATAAGGGTCGTGCGGGGAATACTATAGGGGTAAGATGATCTAAGAACTATTATGACTTCCGTAGACTACTGAAAAGTGGGCAGAGCTAAAGCAGAGAGACTTCCTCTAACTTATATATAGAAGGTTACTCGGACTATAGCTTTAGGGCGTATCCTAATAAAATAGGAGGTATTGGCTATAGACTATTCGGATATTGGTTTAGCCGAGAGCTAGCGTGACTCTGAAAAGCATTTAGAGTGCTACTAGTCCGAATCAGGCTGCTTGAGTAGGATGATGTTATTTGGGGGTAATAATGTAAAGGACAATTTGTCAAGCTTTAGGCAATCTAGTAACTAGCGGCTAGGTTTGAAATCCTGGTTTCTTTATACTAACCTAATTCTTAAAATAAAATTAGTAAGAGGTCTTAAAATCTATTAGGAGGTCTTAAGGTCTAGTTTCGTTTTCGTTTTCTATTTATTATTTCTTTAGAATAGTATAATAGCTTTTGATCTAAATGATGTCTTATATCTTTTATATAGATTAGCTTACCGAGAGAGTAGAAATTTGAGGCATTTACGTAGGGGTATTGAAAAGGAGGCGTATAGTGCGGCTGCTTTAACCTAAGGGTTGTTCTAATAAGTTTCGATTGATGGTGAAAAGAGCTATTTTTTGATATAAAGAATCTTTTTACTTTTCTTTTTCTGCTGGGAAGCTTAATCGTACCTATTATCTTTGCTATTAACGCCTATCTAAACCCGGGAACTTAATCAAAGACTACCACGATTACGTAAGCTTTTTGTCTATAAATATCTTAACCCGACGTCGGGTCTTCTAGTAATGCCTAAATAAATTACTGTTGCCGTTCCTATTAATGAAGGTAGTTTTTGTATCGCCTACAGAGCCTATTATTGGCTAGGGATTCAACTTTAAGCACTAATCCTAGATTACTTTAGCCTCTAGGAATAAGAGTATGATTCTATATACGTAATATATAAATTAATACCTCGAGAATAGTAGTAGGGATTCTACGGCGTTACTATATAGAAACTGACTCGGAAAGGACGGGGGCGACTCTGATTAGAGTAAAGATAAGCGCTAACCGCTTTAGGCTAGTATATATACCTAAAATATATAGGGTGTGTTTGCATTTTTTGCGGGGAGGAATAATCCCTGCCTTACTCCCTAAGTGCTCTAAGTACCCCGCAATTATATTGTAACTTAACGTTTATTATTGGTCTACAATATCAGTCATATAATAACTGCTTTAGCTGATAATGACTAATCCCGTATAATTAACTTACTAGATCGTTTTTTCCTTTCCTTAACAACTTATAATAAGACGAAAGAATATAGTCGGTTATTTACTTTAACTATAGAGGTTGAATTCGTTAAATTGTCGTAAAGTTCCTTTTATACCCTTAGCTACTTGTAAAATGTTATATAAATCCTTCTATCCCGTATGCTTCGACTTTACGGATATAATAAATCCCACGATTAGAGGAGGTAAGTAGAGGGTAAGTAGAAGGTAAGCCGAGAAAGAGTGGCACCTACTTTATCCTCGTAGTCGGCGTTGCTCCCCTCCCCCCTAAAGTATACTAAGCGATCTCTAAGTGCTCTCGATATCCTATTTATCACTTGCTACCGAATTCCTTAGTCCTCTTTAGAAGCTTTTACCCTTAAAATGCTTTAGATCAAGTATTCTCTTAATATAAGCTAGCTACCGAATTAGAACTCGTACTATCTAACTCTTCTAGGCTAATTACTATAGAGAATAAGGGAGCTTCGACTTCTTACCTAGAGAAAATTTAGAGAAAGAGGTAGGCTTGACTCTACTTAGGACCTAACGCTTATTAATTGTTATAGATTCTAGACGTAGTCCGTATCTCTTATAAACTTCAATCGATATTACCTATAGAAACGGTCATAAGCCTTTACGAGTAGATTCGAGCTAATATAGACTGTTTAATCGATT